GTTTTAAATTGCACATAACTATACACCTGCTACGAGAATATAGATATAAAATTTTGAGTAATTTTGTATATAGGTACATAATTCTAAATTGTGTGTTAATCAATGGTAGGTACATAAAATTTATGTAAAACAACAATAGATGATGCAATTTTAACGCAAGACGCATTACTCACAATACTAAAAGATTATTTAACTCTTTATATATTTTTTTACATATTATATCTCTTACTTCAAATGTTACGAGTAATGTCTTGATCGCCACTATATGTACATATTTCTAAGGTGGTGCAATAGTGAACAATAAACAAGACTCATTAAAATTATAATAACACCTAATCTAACTGTGAAAAATATGCGCAACGGTGAATCTAGATTCTAGAGTATGAGGGCAAAGATATTTGTACCAAAAATTAGATCATCAAATTGATTATTATTTATATCTAGAAAATGAAATCATTATATACAGAGGGATGGTGCACTTTAAATTTAATATTTATATACGACTAATGTCTATACTATATAATATACCAAATATATAAGTAAATGTATTAATTTTGTAATTAAATTAACACACGCTTAAAGGGGTCATCGACACTTTAATAACATTAGTTAATTACGATGATTTCAATGAACAATACAATACATTGTGAAATCTCTGAACTTAGTGTTGTATTTTTGTCTTAAATATATTAATCTTTTTGAATATAACATTTATATTTTCAATAATATATATTATTCTATACTTATCATACAAAGTTTTAACTCAAACGTAATTCAATGAATGTAGTCAAACACGATTAATCAAAGAAAAAAAAAATAATACTACATTCGAGATTTAATAATTTACTCTCAATGTTATAAGCAGTTTCATACCACCTATGTACACGTCTTGTGATTGGGTTGTACATTTCGCAAAAGCCAAAAACAAACTTGTTTTGTGAATGGGGTTCATTTCTACAAAACTGGATTAAAGTACCTACGCTCATCTTTTGATATACGAACTTATATTTATCTCAAATTCATAAAACTATGTCCCTAAATGCGAAGAATTCAAAAGCATGATCAAGGCAACCTATAACTTAAATTACAATATTTCCCTCCTGTTGCAAATTGCTAATACCTATCCACTCATCATTAGAGGGGTTTCTCACTCATTGACCCATTTTTAATATAAAATAAATAAAATTTATACATAAAAAAATTGATAATAATTAGTCGATATTGGAATAAATTACAAAATGCACACCCATAACTTTTTCACACATCTAAATTGCTTAAGCAGTGATAATATTTATTATTCGGTCATTTATTGTTGTGACGGATTGCATAAAACCGTAGCGTGCATATAGCACTAATGAACTTCATTGCTGTTGTGTATAATGCGTTCATTATGAAAATAATCTGGATGCTGCTTGTAGTCCTACATCTATATATATTGCAAGTAATCTCGAAACCAGTTCGGACATCACTATGTATCAATTATTGCAATTTATTGTAAGTGCATACAACATTTTGGTATAATTCAAGAGTACTAGAGAAAATATTTATGTCTAATTTATTTTCCATTTTTAGATATTCTGGATGGCATATGTCATGGGCGAATGACTGTTATTGTTTTCCCCAAAACGACAACATTGAAACAAACTCAATTAGTCAAAGTACCTCGCAACCAATTTTTCATAGTATGAAATTGAATAACCGTGAACACAATCGATTTTTTGGTGATAGTTTCGGACATGAAAAAGGACACCTGAACTATAATAATTTGTTTCGGCGACTAATTAAAAATTACATCGATGTGGATGGTACTACATTTAAACGTAAAATAAAACAAACTTCATTAGGGAAGCGAAACAGTAATGACTACGATAATTTTGATAATAACTTTAATATAAATGCAGATAATTTATCGGTATGTATTGATTTACATATTTTGCTTGAGAAACGCAAAAAAATTAAAAACAATTTACAATCAAGCGACATCAAACCTGATCCTGAACATTTAGAAATTGTCGAAATATACAGAGCAATTGCAAAAAATTGTGATCAGACTAGCACGATTATAAAAAACAGTATTGCTGAAATAAAAAGCACAGTCAAACCTAAAAGGAAAATAAATAAATTGGATGATAATGAAGAACCTCTAACAGCAAGAACTGTGGTATCTCACCATATTCCAAGCAATTTCAAAAACTCCACTCCACAATCCATTAATGACAGTAATTTAATCACTACAACTGAATACATGGAATTAATAAAGGACAACTCAAAGGAAATTAATATATCAGAGGAAGATAATATTCAAAAAGGTAGTACAGAAACACCCTCATTACCAAATGATGAAAGTTATTTAACCTTAAAAACCATTGATACAAACAAAACGCAACTGACAAAAACTGAACATATTAAAAAACCAGCAAATGTTAATATATCCACTGAAGCAACCCCAAATAAAAGTATTGTTTCATCAAATTTTCTGACTCCAGGAAAAGAAGGGAGCCAAACCGTAAACTTTAAGAATATATCTATTTCAAATAATCTACCGCAAAGACAAAAGTATGATCAAAGCAGAGCGTATATCATAAAGTTGATTACGCAAGAGCTTTCTAACGGAACAGTTTTAAGTTTCATAAATGGTACCGAAATATTATCGAAAACCAGTAATGACGACATAACTTTACAAACAGAAATATCGCCTAAAAATAACGAAGCGGCATTAACGCCTTATGGTCTTAAAGAGCAAAATTTCTTGAATGTTCAACTGAATAGTATTACCAGCAGGCTCTTCATAATGTACGAAGAAAAACGTATACCATGATATTTTTTCCTAACTCAAACTAAGTGAAATTTATTGATTGAATTGGAATTGGTGTGATTTTTTTTTCTTTGAGAGGATACCAGCAGAAAAATGGAAATCTTTTCTTTTAACTTTGTCATATTAAAACTTTGTCATATTACATGAGCATCAGATACTTTTTTTTTACATCGAGTCTTATCAACATAAAAATAAGTTTAAATTTATGTTTCTAAATATTAAATTCGTAATTTATGAAACGAGAGGATGAAAACCACAAAAGTTTACTTCCATAAAAGTAGGTAAAGGCTGCGCAATTCTACAACTCAGTGTAAAAATATTTTCATATAGATAAAATCTAAAAAGAAATATTATAGTTATTCAATAGTCATGTTCGTCCAAAACAGATGAAGTCAAGAAGAGTTCAAAGAAATAAAATAGAGTTCGTCTCACGGTTACGAAAGAGTAATTTTTATTTACCTAATATTTTTTATTAAGTGTACTTTAAATTATAAATATATTTTTATTCATTTCCATAATTCAGTAAATCTGGTGTCCATTCATCTTTTTTTGTTACTTTTACTTAGCGATAGGTTTCAAAGTTAAACAAATGTCTTTAATCTCATAAAAATTATATTTTTGCTGATACCCTAGAATGTGGAAACGTAATTCGTTCAAGACGTCTTTATAATGAAATCGCAATACGTGAAATTCTAGTGAAGTAACTGGACACTATTCATGTAATTCAATATATCTACCGTCGTCAGAAATTCATTTCATAGACGATTCAATAAAATATACGGCTTTCATTCTGTTCTGTAAAAGTCAAAGATATCTGGACGATATTAGTTTAGCCACAACTAAAGTACTCTTTTCTTGACACCAAAAACATTTTTAGCTGGTTCCATGATGAATACTATATGTAGATGGTAGCGTTGAAACTTGAGATCCACCTGCTCCAAAGACAATTTTTCATCGAAACGTAAGATCCTTCTAATCGCCCAAACACTATAACATCGATAGAATATTTTTTTTTAAAGTTCATGGGCACATCTCTACGACATACAACAATCAGGAGGCTGCTTTTTGTCCAGAATATCCACCACTAATATTTAAATCATCAACAGATGAAATGAATATAACATTAATGAGCACAATTACATACAAACTTATAGTTACAAGTTACAAATTTTATTATAAGCATTGAAGTGAAATTGAAGTTATGAACAGGTCTGATAGACGGGTGCATAAAAGGATAGTTACGCCACTGCTGACAGGCTTATTACGCCGCTGCTGACAAGAGTAAGGCCATTTTATTTTATCTCCTTGACATTGCATAAAAAAGACAATCAATGCCAGGAAAAGTGATATATTTCACATAGAGTATTCGCATCTTCAATGCGAGACACAGAGGACCTTATAACGAAAAATATAAATAAATAATAAATAAATGTATTTATTTCAGACATAACATCCATATCAAAATATGAAATTACATACAACAATATATAGCCGTTAACTAATTAATTCTTTGACAAATGGTATTTTTTTACATTTACAACTGCTTTAAAAAGAAATAAACACTAACTATAACCTAAAATATTAAATTTTAAATTGAAATGATTGGCGCCTTATCTCACAGTAATGTCAATATGAAAGGTGATAACACTCAAGTAACCTTTTTATTTTAAAATTTTTAATTCTTTAAAAAAACAGGTTATTTTGAATACCTTAAATACCTTTAAATTTTAAAGTTTTATTAATATTTTTATACATATATTTTAAATATATTTATGGCAATAAATCGATAAATTAAATACTTTTATGAGAACATGTTTTAAAAACTATAATTCCTCTACCAAAAATAAAAATTACTACAATGTCCCTAGAACTTAGTGACATAACGTCAAATTTGCTATAGAAAAAAGAAGTATTTTAATACACAACACTAAAAAAAGAATTTATTATTACAAAATAAAGTATAAGTGATCATGGTTATAATTCTAAATACTTTTTATATAAATATACAAACAATTTCTAAACGTAACACCGGAAATGCTACTACCAACATAAAAACTGTAGATAAACATATTGTTAAATTGTCATCTTGTCAGTCCACTTGTAACGATCAAGGAGCGGTGAACATCGAGGAGAGGTCGTGGAGAAATTTACCATCTAGCCACCATCGCCGTTCGCCAATTACACCATGGCTGATACCGAAAAGGCGCCGCAGCCGCAGCCCCAGCAGCAGCAGCAACCTGAACAACAACCCCAACCTCAACAAGTTAAGCAAAAAAAGCAGGTTATTGGTAAGTGCCGCTACGCCATCTTAGTTTTGTATGCCTTAATACTTCAAAAGCACATGGTTTTTCTATGAGTAATTTAGCATGATTAATGTGATTTTACGTGCGAATTATATGTTTTCAAATCATTTTATTGAAATCTACGTATATATTTTGTTTCTCAAGGTTTATTTCGATGTTTATCGTTAATATCGATCGTTTGATGACCCCGGCATTTTATACCGCCTTCGCACTAAGCATCACGCTTAAGAGTTGAACCTAACAATCAATACTCAGGGCGAATTTGTTTTAAGTATGTTTCACATAGCCATAATATTTGTGAATATTAGATCTCGATCTAAATGATATTTCTTAAATTCTAATTAGGTCATCGAACTCTCAAATGTGACAAACTAGCTGCATTTTGCTGATTTTTTATGCATTTTATGCATTTCTTGTCCACGTGTTTGATGCCGCCATTTCGTTTTCAGTTTACCGTCTGCTATTCTGGATGTTGCAACTTTGGAACTCTGAAATAAAACTAAGAATCTATTTATAGCCACCGCGTTTTAATAATTACCGCTCAATAGTAAATATTAAGTTTCGAAAAAATTTACGTTGAAAACAAAGTTAAATTTAAAGAAATTATATATTCGCGATACCTAAATTTTACAAATAGTTTTTATATTGCGGTGGATATTGCATATATATATTTTTTGTTTTTCAGCTGAAAAAGTTTCGGGCACTGTAAAATGGTTTAACGTCAAGAGTGGATATGGCTTCATCAACAGGTAATAAATCTGTTTGGTTAAGTATTTGAATGGTATTGATGAATATTTGTAATCTGCTTACCTTTATTCTCTAATTACCTAGTTTATCAAATATGTATACAATAAGATTATTTTCATGTCAACTCTTCATTATAAATCGGGAGCATAAATTATGGTCAGTTATCATTGTAGTATTTAATATTTACACTTAACATGTACAATATTAACTTGATTTTTGGTAATTTATTTATAACAACTTATCATTTCATCGGTTTAGATATGTTTAATAATATTGTGTCGGGTGAACTTGATTTTATCAAGTTTATATGGGTTTGATTTGGTATAAGAAGTGATTATACATGTTAGAGGTAATATAGCTTAGTTTTCTTTGTTACTCATAGCAATTAATACACTCGGTTGCAAAATGATTTGGAAGTTAACAATTAAGTACAAAATAAACATTATTGCTTATAGCCTTATCTTACCATGTCATTTACCGAATATTTATTCCATTTCATTTAAAAATTTGCCGATGACAAGAACAAATAGACATTTGAAACATTCAGCTCCGAGGACATTTTTGTGGACTTGGTTTCAAATATTAAGCTCTTGTTAGTAATCTGGTGTATATAGAAAAACTTGTTCTGATTTAATTTTGACTGAGGTTATTTGTCTCACTTTCTTAATTCCTGAACTTTGTTCTCATCTCTGAAAATATACAAATTAATTTAAAATGTTAATTATAACGGATAGTTACAACCTGATGTCATTGTTTAATTAATACGATTAACAGTTGTGTTTAATCAATTCAATATTTCATTAAAACGTTTACTCAAGTGTTTTAATAATTTTATAAAAATATTTTTTCTGTTTACCCACAGAAACGACACCAAGGAGGATGTGTTTGTACACCAGACAGCTATCGCCCGTAATAACCCACGTAAGGCTGTGCGCTCGGTCGGCGACGGCGAGGCGGTGGAGTTCGCCGTTGTGGCCGGCGAGAAAGGCTATGAAGCAGCCGGAGTGACCGGCCCCGGCGGCGAGCCGGTCAAGGGCTCGCCCTACGCTGCCGACAAACGTCGGGGCTTCCCACGCCAGTTAGTGCTCCGATATAAAACTAATACAATTTATCACACAGACAATAACTGAAAGATTTATTAAAAATTTCACTTTCAAATCCTTTCGCGACAATTTTGTTTTTCTATTATAATTTGTATTTGTGATTTAAGTCAATGTTTATTACAAATGTTCATTGTCTTTAAGGTTCTACATTCCTCGGCCTGGAGGCGGACGTGGCGGCGAGGGGGCTCCACGAAGAGGTGGCATGGGACGTCGCGGGCCCCCGCCCACACAGGGGGGCGCGCAAGGAGATGAGGGCCAAGAAGGTGCTGGAGGCCCACCGCAACGCAGGTATAACTTGAACAAATCTTATTATTAGATTTAATATTCGTGTCTAGCATAACTATATTTATGGAATGCCTAATTTAGCTACTTCCGCCGTAACTTCCGTGGCGGAAGACGTGGCGGTGGCGGTCCCCGGCCGATGTACCGTGGCGGGTACAGGTATGTGCGCCCGCGCAACAACCAGCCGGGTCAGAACCAGAACCAAGGTCCAGTTCAGAACCAGGGACAGGCCCTGAGACAGAATGGCCAGGAGGGAGAGGCTCAAGCATCTGCTTCCACGGCACCGGCTCAGCCCAAGGCCAAGCCCAACAACAACAAGCCGACGGGCACCACTATTGAGACCACCACCAATGAGAGCCAGGCCTAAGCAGCCGGTCGAGTGTTGTGGCACGCCTCTTCTAGTAGTGCATGTTAATTCCAGCCGTGCCACACACCATCACAATTTACTGTCAATCTATTCAACTAAGAGTGTTTCGTTGCGTCATTGCAATCGGTGATCAAATCATTGTACACCAATTTTTATGTCTAGGAGGGATGTTATGGGGGTGTCACGAGTGGAACTGCATAGTATCATGGATCAGAGATGTGATATTTTTATTATTTTATATATGTTGTAAAACATCAGGCCGCCGGGCGGCGAGCGATAGTGTCAAGATTATATTTTACTATTTAATAAAATATTATAGGTCGCCGCGCGTACTCGCCGTGAAATTGAATGTTTTAATGAATTTAAAAAAAGGTTTTTGATGATTATTGGTATACTTACGAAATTATAAAATGTCCTCTAAAGTAAGATGTTGTGCAATTTAAATTATAATATTTATGTATTTGTATTGAGAAATGATATGCAGGTTCCGAGGCCCCAAGAGGTTTTTATATTTTTAATGTCATGTGGATTTATTTTTGTCTTACTTCTACAACTTTTTATTTGTGCATATTTTTTTTTAAATTATTAGTATGTACTTGTAACTTCAACACTCAGAGAAATAAACTTCTTTTTACCTGTGTGAAATTTATTTTATTTTTGAAATACCTTACTATTTCTCACCTTATTTTCCTGTTATATCATCACTACATATTCTAATTTCAATATAATCAAATTTGTTTATATGTGTTCGTGTTAAATACATGCATATTATAAGTAAATTAATATAAACTAATGAAATTATCTTGCTCTCCGCCTGAATTTAAGAGGAAAAGAAAACCTAGAACTAAAATTTTAAATCGTTAATAGATATCTATATAATAATACACTATAAGTTTACTTCAGATTGCAAGGGGGAATTCGAAACTAGTTGTCTTAAACTGTCTGAATACGGATTTCATACATAACGTTAAAATGCTTCCTCAACTTATGTTAACACCTGTAAATGTAGAACAATGTTACATGTACTCTTTTTGTAATTAATTAAATAAATAAAATAAAACTAACATGCATAAGAAGACAATTTAAAATGGCCCAAAAATGCCAGTTCCATAGGAAACTACAAGGACGAAAAGAATTTTGAGTACACCAATAATAATGTACTTTCTATTGTTTCTGTACCTTTGAAACATTTTTGACCAATTCAATTTATATAAAAATGTTAGTAAAACTTTACATTCAAGTATTTCGTAACTTAAGCAGTAGTAAATAATGTAATCATAGCAGTAGCTGGAACCATTGGGTTGTTCCATCTCAAATGCTCCTTAAGTTTTTAACAAATAATTGATTCAAAACTTAAAATGATATATGTATAAAACTTTTATTTCCTTGAAATTATATTCAAATTTTACTGAGCAATTTTTTAAAAAAAATACCCTTTCAGTTATAGTAATACACACACTACCAAACTAATATTTGTATATTTTAGTTTTAATATTAAAGTGTTACAGGCTTTTATTTGATAAATAAATACATAGTTACAAATATTAAAATAAAAAATTAAACCCCAATATTAATACGGATAAAGGAGTGTTCTTACTTGTACAGATTTTTTTCCTAAGAGTAAAGGTATTATAGTATCTATATATTACACAAAAATAAGGTCCAGGGCTGGTTTTCATTTTACGGCTCTACTTTTACGGTTTTACGAAATTCAAACCATTAACAGTTCAGTAATTCTCCGATCATAAATTATAAAAACTCCTTTTGCATATTTAGTCACGGATATAATAACAGAATCACGGACTACTGAAAAGGTTTTTGATGAGGAATAATCTTTGAGTTATGTCTTTTTTTCTAAGGGTTATTGAATTTTTAAAAGACTCAGGTCTGTTTTGTTGTGTTATTTTAACCACAAATTGGTAATAATAATTGTCTGTCATATACTTTAGATATATAATATTTGAGTATACTTTTCTTTTTTTAATATTATGTGACGTATAAATATGTGTATATGAGATTATAAATACAAATAATTTGTGTGTTTATTCCTCATACTGATTCTTTGTCCTGATAAAGCTTGTATAGAGATCCCGATCTCGACTATACCGTCTTACTTCTAAAGTTGTACAAGGGTACAATTTTATGTTTTGTGCTTACTTACGTTTAATTACTGGAAAGTAAGATCAAGTTTCTCAAGTTTGATAGTATTCGACTTAAGGACAAAATTACACTTTTCACATCCAGTTCTACATATAATTTGAGATTAAATTGGTTGCCTTTGTTAGATCTTTAAATAAGTAGTCCATACTTATTTCGATTAAGTGGGTAAATGTTAAATATTTGGATCCAGTAACGTTTAGATACACACTAAGTATTGCAAAATTGCTTTTTTTTGTTAACATTCCAATAACCTTAATTTCAATAAGTATGTAATTTTGTCATGATTCTTTGTCTATTTGAAAGTTTTGATTTTTTTGTTCTTTTCTTTGCTCACTTTTTTATCAACTGTTTAGTTTTTCTCATCAACAATAGGTGTAGTTTTTCTTCATCGACATAGTCAATTTTGATATTTCCTTTCCTCTAACAATCTGGTGCTCCTCTGCTCTGCAGTTGCTCATCTTTTGTAATTTCATATTTTGATATGTTAAAATAAATTCTGTTTTGATATGCGAAATGGTTTAATGATGAGATAATCTTCATGATGAGATAAAACTGCTAGTAATATTTAGTTGAAACTCAAAGTCCAAGTTTGCATCATAGTTCTACAAACGAAAGGTTTCCCATTTTTCATTCAATAACCCGCGTTAATATTATAAATTAGGAAAAGTTAAATACGTTTAATATCTTACGTTTAAAACTTATTACTTGAGATGTAATTTAAATTTAGAGACCTTGGTATACAGCTTGATAGTACTCTCTCATGGTCGGAGCATTTAAAGAATATTGGAAAAAAAACATACGCCTCGTTAAGTTCGTTGCGACGACTACAAAACTTACTGCCAATTCCTACTAAAACTATGCTTGCAAACTCTCTCCTTCTTTCAATTCTCGATTACGCGGACGCAAGCTATCTTAATCTTACCGAGGACCAACTTAATTATCTTGAGCGATTACAAAATCTAGCTATTCGGTTTATTTTCGGTCTCCGAAAGTATGACCACGTTTCAGAGTTTCGTTCAAAGCTCAAGTGGCTCCCTATACGCCGTCGCCGGAACCTGCATACTCTTTCTCTTCTGTACTGTGTGTTATTTAATCCAAATGCTCCTCAATATCTGAAGGAGAAGTTCGAATTTGTAGGAGATCAGTCCAGAATGCGACCAGCACGTAGGCTCATTCTGAAAATGCCTGCTCACAACAGTAAATATTACAGAAAGTCGTTCACTGTTCAGGCAATAACTCTCTGGAATGACCTACCATTGAGCATTCGACAGTCTAAAACCCTATATGCTTTTAAAAAATCCTTAAAGAACCTATATCTCTCATCAGAGTAATGACGACGACATGATTATGACAAATGTATGTATTATGTATTTATATGTTTGTATGTATGTATGTATTTATATGTATTTGTATGTATGAATGTAAGTATGTATGTATGTATGTATGTATGTATGTATGTATTTATTGATATATGTACGTATGTATATTATTGAATATTTATTACTGCTATTTATTTTTGTATGTGTTTAGGTTATATATTTATTTTAAGAATATCTAATGTACCACCCTATACTGTCTCCAAACACAATCCTCTGACCCCAGGTTGCCTGGAAGAAATGGCTAATAAGCCATAAGGCCGCCTTTTGTTATACCGTTAGTTTTAAGTTTGTATTTTATTTTATTTTTTTGTAATTGTCTGTATTGAGACTGTGGTGTGCAAAAAAGTATTAAATAAATAAATAAATAAATAAATTTAACATTTCTTTTAAATCCAAGCACGATATTAATTAATTATTATTATACACTCTAATCAATCCAATGGACTCCAAACAGCAAATATTTCAATCTGATTGAAAATTATTTCATGCCAGAGAATTACCGTATTGTAAAAATATAATATATCACACTTCCAATTCTCCCATACTAGTTTGATACCCCTTTGAAAATAATTTTTTGAAAGTGAAACTAGGTAGACTAAGTATATAAGTATCATGGAAACATTTTCCAGTCCGAAAAATTCTTATTAAATAAACGTGCTGAAAAAATTGCTTTGATAAACAGACAGACAATATCCTGTAGATTGAAATTTAAATCACTAATTCAAAACGATCACTCTCGGAACAGCAACAAATATTGGAAAGTTTTGTTTTCGACATATTCAGTTGCATAACCATTTATAGCCGCGCGTCCTTTCTTTTGTCCTGTTTAAAATATTATTTATAAAAATCTACCTAAGATTGCTGTTTATAATTGAGCAGCGTTTATATTCATTTTATGAAGGAAGAAAAACGTATTAAATCTGGACGATTTTATCAAGTGTAGACTTGGTTTAAACAATATTTTGTCACCTTACTAAAGTGAAATCCTTTGCTCGTGTCAGAAATACTGTTATAGTTCGTATGCATTTCACTAAGTGTGGATGTCAGTCGTGTGCGAACATTGCTACAGAAATTGCGCTCGTCGAATACAGTACCGACAAAATTACTTCGTTCTTCTATTCTATAATTGCTGTTAACCGCAGTGAGTACATTTTTTATTAGTTAAACGTTTTACGTCGTTTAAAATAATTGATAAGTGGTTTTTACTGACCTTTTCTTATGTTTTCGAATATTAGTTATCCAACTTTATACTTTACTAAAAATTTTACTAGCAGAATGTTTGAAAATTTATATTTTTTTCTTCGCAACATACCTAATGAAAATTAATGTTCATAAGTTTACCTGTGGCTAATAAATAATCCTATAAAAATATTCAATATAATACAAGTACATATATATTATTAATATTAATTTATAAATAAATGTGTTTATAAATTAATTAAATTTTTTTTCTAATCAATTTAATCTTGGTATTAATATATTTTGATTATTTATTTATCTTTTTAAGTATATATTTTTGATATTCGTACATGTTTGGATTTTTTATTGAAATCTTTTAAATATCCCTCGACTAATAGTTTGTCGTAAATTCTTAGTAAAGTAAATCATAATATAGTAAAGCAAAACAGATAGAGGAACTCTCCTTGATTCATTCTGGCCTTATAGCTCGCCACTCAATGTGTTTTTTCTTTACTTCCTCAACATTCCGTTTTGTGTTTATTTTTAACAAGTATCATATCCGTATGGATTACAAATAAATACTTCTATATTAAATGGTAAAGTCTAGATTTCAGTTATTTAGTGCTTATTATAGGAAAGTTATTAAAACATCAGACATAAGTCTGAATATGGAAAAAATTAACGTTAATTTAATTATTTTAAATAATCAATATAGATATCCATCCGGTTCATCCTAATTCACACAATTATATTTTATAATACATGTAAATGCCGACTGTCAATATGTACATAATTTAAAACAAACCTATGATAAGAGGAAACACATACTCAAGGAATAAAAAGATTTACTTACTTGTAGCACAATTACCATGTGCTGACAATGTTTATTGAAGATAAGATATATTTTTTATTTATTCAAATACATCCTTATAACATATAATATACGATATAATTTTGTTTATCTCATTGGATGCGTATATTTTAACATAAAGAACAGGTAACAAGAACAAGTAGAGTAAATTCGTAGTAATCTGTCATTGTCATGAAATTTGGTACATTCATTAAAAGAAGGCTATTTAAAAACAGAAAATTGACTAAAATTTAAATATATTTAGTCACAGATTAATGCCAAACTTATTGTCTTTTCATAATAATTCGCCTTGCCTGGTATGTCTGATGTATGTATGTTATAATATTTACTCTATTTACACATGTGTTTCACTTCCACCACCTTTCTTGCCTCCAGCATTTAAGGCATACATCGTTACGGATCTTATTTTATCATGGAACCTTTGACTTGCACTTTTTTTATTCTTTTGTTTTCTCTCAGGACTACCCTAAAACGGTACAAGTTTGGTAGATAGATAAATCTTTAAAAATTTTAACTGCGCCTTTTTTATTTTTATACTTTTTTATATTAAAACAGATATACAAAAGGAAGTCCTTTAAATTAAAGTTTGGAAAACATAATTGTTATACTTTTAGAAAAGTTCCAGGAACTTTTCAGTTTAATGTAAAATATTTTAACATTTCTTACACCATACTACTAATAAATATTTTGGTATACTGTTTTACTTAATTGAAGCATTAAATAACCTTGAATTCTTGAAATGTAAGATTACGAAAAAATCTCAGCCATTCAGCACTTTTGAACGATAACCGACTCTTAAGTATAATATAAAGCTGACCAAAATTAATATTTAATTATTATACCGGAGGACTTTGCGATGAAGTGTCTTTCTCAAAAATTATTCCCTTTCCATGAGTCTTGTCTGGACCTTCACTAGACTTTATTATCACGTCATTAGTTGCACTGTCATTCTGCGTGGATGAGCTTGATACCTAAAAATAAAATTACCTTTGATCTCATTCACATCAAAAAAGTATTTGTTATCTATAAAGAAACGAAAAATGATAGCACATCTGTATATAATGTTTTTTTTTTCATTTTAAAATTCCTCCATACTTCGAAGGTTGCAATCTAATGGATATGCGGATGAAATTGGACGTCATTATTGCTTAGATTCAATTTTCATCACACAATATTGTTTTATACCTATCTCATCCTATCTTTTGTACTCTTATGTTTAACCCGATTTTGATCATAATTTTTTTATTTGGTCAGTTCGGAGCGCAAGAAGAAGCAACGTTTTTGGTCTAAATTAGTCAGTGACTTTTCTTTGAATACTTAAATAATTTTCCTTGTTAGCACAGTATTCTTAAGTTTATTCAGTTGGTGCTGTATGTAATGTAAATATTGCGTAGATGAATAAGAATTTTGTTAGAGTGTTTGTTTCGTTCTTGTACAGAACTCTCTAAATCATCGGTGCCTTGTAAGAATTCTTATGACAACATGACTCAAAAATTTAATACCTATTATTCAATATATAGCTACATTTTTTGCATAGTTCTATTGGTTGTAATGTAGTTAACTGGCAAAAAAGTTAGAGAACTACCTATCTTTTTACGGTGCTTAATGGCTATTACAAAAAAAGGACTTTAGCAATAGCAAAACACAATAAAAATCCAACCGGTATGATCGAAGATCGTTTCACACATTCAATGTCGACCGCGATTCCATGAGGTATTAGAAGCGGATCTATACAGAGTCGATTGTCTTCATTTTCATTGAATATGAAGTAAGATTTTTCGTAACTTGGGAGACAGCGTAGGAGGACATGTCCACCGGCTACTATACCACAAATCATTGCTGCCATTACAGCTATCACCGGTGCATACCCCAGCCTGTCTATTGGCAAGGAACAAAGAGCCTTTCGCTCGTCGAACCTTAAAAATATCAACATATTAACTTCAATTAATAAATTATTGATTAAAATCGTAATATTCTTGCTTCCACTTCGGTCAATGGAAAATTACGAGATTATCTCAAAACTAGAACAAAAGTATTATTTTGTTCTTTTGCTCATGATTAGAATTAGGTTTGTCAATTGTTTGTATTATGTTCAGTTTATAGTATTTAATGTTATTGTTGCGTAAATAGACAAGTTTACATGCTAATGATTCAAGATTTTTTAAAATTACGACTGTTAAGATCTTTGCATGTGCGTGACTGCGAGAACATTAAAATAATCGGAAGATACTTTGGCTTTAAATTTACATTTTATATTAAACAAGATCACTCGATAATATAAATATATATCTTTCATAATTATATCACAATTAAGAATCCATCCGTAAGTTAAAATTATTTGAATAACAACTTACAGCACCATCAGATTAAATTAATAATTAAATGGCTATTCTTACAAGCAAAATCCATGACCTGCTTTGATATTGTGATGGTTCATTGGATCTATTCATGTTAACAAATTGATACACAACGGCTATTGGGTATAGCGATGAACCGAATGCACGGACGTTTAAAGGGTAAATATGCATATTGTGTGCTATAAAGTATGTACTTATGCTTTTTACTTATTTTTTTATCCAAATAAACACTGACGAAGATAAAAAATAAATATTACTTATTATTATAGCGACATTAAACAAAGGTATTTCATTTTTTAATAAAGAACTCTTTATAAATAACTTATTAAGTTAAGGAGGTCTTTTGTTTTTCTTTTCGTTTTTTTTTGGCAAAGAAGGTTTATTATGATTTTATATATAATGGCTAAACTTATTTTTACTCTATAGGAACAGAGGTACTAAACTATAAAACAAGTAAGTTCTTAAAATGTGATTCAACTAGTAAATAACAAAAATATAACTAGCACACATAAACAGGTCTAATTGATAAATAACGCAGTATAAGAGAAGCCTAGTAATTTGAGGATAATTTTTCAGAGGGTTTGTGGTACAGCTTGTTTTAATACTCTAAAGATTTTATTAATCATTGATTTCCTCAAATTTTTATTAGGTTTAGATGAACAACGAATTATCTCAATTTTATATAGGTAAATAAATGAGAATTATTTGTCATATAGAATTCTCGATCTCTAAACACGGTTAAACAGTGTCAACGTAATACATTACAATATCAATCGAGAAAGTAACTTATCAAATTTAGATCAAAATTTTCCGATACCGATTGAATATGCTTAGTTTCTCTCGTTTAGCTACACCTGTCATTCTATTTATCAGGAGTGGTTTTATTATGAATATAATCTTCTATTATATCTAGTTTGAAAAAGTGAACCGCTTTTATCTCGTATTTCAAGTGGAATAATCCTAACTAATGTTTAAAAAGTTGATAGCGTGATGGTAAGTTTATTACAACTCCGCGCTTCAACTGTTAAGACGACTGCTATGAAATCTGTCACACACCATAAAACTACAGAAATTTATAACGAAAGAAAAGGGTATGTATTTTCAAATAAATTTTTCATGTTTTCTTTTCCAAAATTGTGGAAAATATTATGTGGTAGTACATATTTGGTATAGGAAATTTAAAAAATTCTAAACTTGTAATTGAATATTACCATTGTCATGACTACATAAGTTCATTACTAATATTATAGATAAGTCAATGTCTTTCATTGTTTGCTAGTATATTGTTTACTAATATAAATATTGAACTCGTTACCGAGATTTTTTACCTTGATGGGACCCTTTCTGAGGAATGTGATTTATTTCTATATCTTTATATATATATATATATATATATATATATATATATATATATATATATATATATATATATATATATATATATATTTATCTTTATATATAGATATAATTCTTCTGTGAGTGTGTATGTCAATGAACTTCTCTCAAACGACTGGACCGATTTTGATGAAATTTTTTGTGTGTGTTCAAGGGGATCTGAGAATTGTTTAGATTCACAATTTTGTCCGCTGGATAATTTTTTTTAAATTATATTTTAATTTATTAGTAGTTGTTGATACAAACGTTTTTTTTTGACATAAGACTTGACAACTAACTAATATGTCAATCATTCTGTCGCACTGCAAAACGCGGAGATTTATGGCTTTAATAGGTAAACTCCAAAAATATAAATAAAAAACGTAACAGATATTTCTTGATTATATGGCTATACGAAGTTCGCCGGGTCTTTTAGTTCTCTATAAACTAGAGAAAAGTACTAAAATGAGTACAATTTAATTCAATTATTAAAATAACAAAGTAGTTTTAGCTCGTTCGTACGTATTGTAATTCCACACTGTATCTTTTTACCTTGATATGTGCGATCATTACCGTATAGCCATGACCATTACACATCGTGCTTATAACCACCACAAATTATTATATTTGTTTTGTTGAAAAGGCAAAAAAGTTGTAAATAAATACATTACTAAGCGAACTAAGAGGTTATAAACAACATCATTAAATTGTTGAGGTCAAATGCAGATGGTCTTACGAGGTATTTTTTTAAAATATGAAATCTTCCATTAATCTCTGGTATATTAAAATAATTTGCTACATGCTTAAAAGTTTGACTATTAAGAGACCTTCATATAAAAAAATTAACAAAACAGGATCATAAATCTTTTTCAATTTTGTATTAAGATTTTCAAAACTCTTCACATACGTCTGTGTCCAAGCATAGACACGAAACAAACTTAGCATCGAATACATAATAATACTTATTTATTTATCTTACAGTAGTTATAAAGAAAAATAGAAGTTTAGCTCGTTCGTATATAAATAATTGTAATTGTAAAAATTGCTTTACCAGTCATCCACTCCGCAATTTTTAATGCCATCGCACACAACCCCGGTGGTAAAACAAAAGTTATCATCCTCTACAGTGCAAATTGTCTCATTCCTTTTATTGCATCCAGCAGCCGGTGATTTTCGGGCCGATGTTATGGTTACTTGATAGAAGTTTGCCTTTATCAGAGTTAAAATATGTTGCTATATGTAATTTTTGTCTATCCACATTATTATAACACATAACACTTAACAAGAAATATGATTATTATCATTTTAATTATAAAAAACCATCGGCTCGTCTATTGCTTAAATATATATACCTAATTTATACAACATGTGTACATATGTATATTAATTCTTTTGTACAAAATTCCAGATGTGTAAATATACAAGAACAAGCTTTAACGCTTCGATTTATATTTATCCTTAGTATTAATTGATCCACCGACCAATACAGGTTTTAATCTACTTTCACTTAGTTTTTTACTTAACACACTACATAAATAAGAAAGGCTATATAAATTTTTACTCACATTTATATCTGTATTAATACTGCTGTTGCTTTTGAAAAGGAATCTGATACGGTCTTTAACTGAGAATATAAAGTAATTCGCATAGACATCTCTGTATAATAGATCACAAAGCCTTATGCATCGCCTACGTTTTAGGACCGTAAATGCGTCTCTATTCACTTCGCAATTGGCGGTGAGTGCATTAGGGTACCGAACTACAACTAACATGAACTGCTGACCCGATGTTACAACTTCAACTAGACACTCGTACTCTATATCTTTAAGGGTACGAAATATCTGAAACATCATAAAATTTAAAACAGTTTCGTGACTTAATAGAATAAATAATGAAACCTAGAAAATTATTAATAATACTAATCACAAAATCATCTTTTATGAAGTCAAAACTACAGGAAACTGTTTTTACTAGAAACGATGACAGAAAGAGGCAGTACAGAAGGGTTCCCTTACAATTACCTTAAATAAATCTGTTTACTTATATAAAAAGTGTTATTGCTTTGGGAAGAATTGATTTTTACAATAAAAGGGATAGAAATTGACAGCCCTTATAAAACCGATCATAAAATTATCTCAGATTGTAAGTCCATAAAAGAGCCTTTAAATGCCTTTGGCTTTCATTGTCACTGCGGGAGAAACACAGGGAAGCGGATTTCTCAGATTACGCTTGCGAAATATTAAGGTCAATAAAAACAAGTTTCGCATCAAAGAAACAATAAAATATTTTAAAAAAGGCTATGTAAGATTGCACATTTTTTAAATACAATAGAGCTGTATTTTATTCGCGTATTCAGCTTATAATTATTTAACTAAAAAGTATTAGTAACTTCTTTCCATTCGCTTCAATCTTTAATGTAACGTGATTTCTTATACATAAAAAATAAATAAACTTTACCAATGTAATTGTATCTGACATGCCCATGCCAAAGGATATATCAAAGCGAAGGTGCCTCGAAAAAGCGCATTCACTGGTGATATCCTTTGGTTGGTATAGAAACAACAATCCACTCCCGCAAGAAATACTGGGAACACTCAGCAGTAACACGAATATTAATAATGTCATTTCTAAATAAAAGAAATAAACTCCCTTTAAATCTTTTACCTCGGTTTGAAAGTACGTAATCTATGAAGCTACGTGTCAAAATTACTGATCCAAATAAGTTATTGCTACCAAATTTTATGTCGTATGTTTTTTATATATTAATGTCATAAAATGTGCACCTAAAATGAATTAAATATATTTATTATAATTTACGTAAAAGTAAAAATTAAATAATGAAAAAACAGATTTTCCATCTAAAATCTTTTTAACGTAAAAATTGCAAAGAAAGCTTATAATGATTTATAATTCAACTTACCCTTTTTAATTGAAGAGAAAATCTATGAATATTAATTTTATAGTATAATAATTATAATAAAACATTATTCTAATACACTTATTTTAAATATCAACGACATTAATAAATGATCACGGGTTGTTTCGCAAACGCTATAGTGAAGGGGATTGCGTAAAACCTTTACCTTCATATTGATAAACAGTTGTAATCTTCGTTGCATACTTACAACACGTCATGGACATTAAAATTTGACGAGATTTTTTGTTTATGTTAGTGTTCCGAGAGCATATTGTTGCCCATATAGTTAAGTTATCCTGCATTTACAGACGGCAAATATGAAGGATCCCGCTGTAATAGATGATGCTCATCATTACGGCTACGAGAAGAATTTTCGCGTCGCCCTACCGCAGTTCCTGGCAGTCAGTGTGAAGAATCTTGTTCTTTTAAGTAAGTAATTAAATTATGTGAATAAAAGATCGCTATGCATGTATGTCAAGGAAATCTTTGCTTTAAGAATTTAGAGGACTGAATAGGTATTTGAAAGGTCAGCAATTTGCAAATAATACCCCGGGTTTTGCAGGCGTCTGTATGCTACAATGACTGCTAATCATCACGCGGGCTGTATGCCTGTTTGCCATCGTCGTTGTATAAAAATAATAATAATTCATTAACTATATTTTTTAATGTGGGTTGTCTTAACTTCATTTAAATTTCATTCAAAGTAACGGCTTAGATATAATATGCTATACTTATTCTACCCACATAATATTCAAAAGTAATTTAGAGTAAAGTAATTTCTTATAATATGTTCTGATAATATTTACAAATATTTTTTTAAAAGTTAATAACTTCAAATAACACGTCAATTTATTATTAACGATACTTTATTCAGTGAATTTAGATCTCCTTGATATAACTAAAAACTCACATTCCCAGATCAAAAATGAGAAAAATTTAATTATAACGGAAAAATTACATACATAAGTAAACTATTGATATTTTTTTAAATCAATATTTTTCAGTCTTTCGATTGAAACAAACGGATTGTTTTCTTAACCGAAACCATATTAAAATATTTTTAAATCGGGGTCCATTATTATTGTTATAGTTATAAAAATCTTATTGTTTTTCGTCATCAAATTAATGTGTGTATGAAATGTATGTGTTTTGATAATGGATTTGTGTTTTTAGGACTGAAAGCTAATGCGAAGTCCGTTTCTTTATCAGCATACTTAAAATAGAGGCTAACGACTTTTCTGTCTTCATTGTGTTATGTGCGAGCAAAACCTTTTTATAAAAGCAACCAGCCTATTTTTGATTCTCACATGCAATGCGAAATACCTTATAGAATGCTCCTGGCAAATTTTAATTAAGTTAATTAAAAAAAAGTGATAAGTTTTATGCAAAGAAAATGCATTGCAAAATGATTTGATAAATTAAATGACTTTTTAATGTATGCATGACAAATTTTATGTTTGAAATAGCCACTTTTATTGCTTGTAAATTAACATTGCATGAATTTCACTCTTTTCCTGATATAACAGACGGCAATGTTTATTCAGATGTAAGGTAGATACTAGTCTCCATTTCAAGAATACAGTTTCACTTAATATTTATAATTATATTTGGTAATATACGTCTCTTTAATATTCTTAAGCATAAAAGAAGAAAAATTCATATAACTTTTTAGTGAGTATTAAATTTTAGTTTCAATGAGCTAAACATCGTGTAATATTTGCATGCATTCATTATGAATGACGTAGCTTCTTTAATTTTATTTCTTTTGCTGCTTAAAATATTATATGTAATGATGTGTGGAGTTGTTCCCCAACAAATTATTTTGAATAAACAAAACAAAATATATTTTCTCACAGGTCGAAGCATAACTTTAATTAATATATTAATTATTTAGGGATATCATGATTATAGATGTATATATTAGTATATGGACTTAAAAAAAATTTACCTGTACGACGTATAAGGATCTCATGATGCATTGCTTTTTAAGTAGTTCAGAACAATATGTAAAGTGAGGTACAAGACTTCATGCGAATTAAATTTTTGTTTTTCCGCCAAATTGTTAAATTACTGATTAGTAACAATGTAACACTACAAACAGACGCGACATTTTTTAAATTTCCTATGTAAATAAAACGTTATAAAAATGTAATTAATTTTATTTTTAACGAAATTCTAGTAGGTATATTGACATATTCCTAATTTATGTAGGATTTCATTAACACAGATCCAATAATAAAATTATTCACGTAATATGACTCATTTGATATCAATAAAAAGAAATTTTACTTCAAAAACTGCGTGAACCTAATTTTTTGACCGTTTGATTTAATGCCTAAATTTATTTTTTTAAGATTTTTTGGTACTATATTATAATTTATACTCCTCAGTTCACTATAATTGGCAATAAATTGGATTGTACTTTCTATTAAATGATGTTTATTTAATTCAGTTCAGTAATTTCCTGCTTCTAATATATATTTTTTTACAGGTTATGGAATGACGCTCGGATTCCCAACGATCCTTATTCCTGCCGTGAAAGATCCCATTGGTATAGAAGTATTGAAACTGAATAACTCCGAGATATCATGGATCAGTAATTATTTTTGATTTTACTAAAAATATTTTTAGTAGGTACCTAATAATATTTAATGAAGATTAAAATATTATTGCCTATTTATATTTTATACCATTATTAAGTGTTTTTAAGAACTAATAATAATAATCAAAGGCAATTAGTTCTAGAAAAACAACATAAGAAATGTACTTTAGACGCCATTGTTACGAGAACTTTAAGTAATGCTCCGGATATAGTGATAATTAATTAATAATTAGTTAATAGTATAGATAGACGATGATAATTACTCTCAACGATAATTAATTTCACAGATAATAGCTATCGTATTTGGTCAAAATAAACATATTTAAAATAGCTCATAAATGTTATCAGAACAATTTCGTAAAAAGAAACAAGATATTTGTTTGTAAAATGTGAGATACTTGTAAAGGACATTTTTTATGAGTAATATATAAAAATAACGAATAATTTTGTTCCAGGTTCAATAAATTTGATTATAGTACCACTTGGTTGTGCGCTGTCTGGAGTAGTCACAACTCCGATGGGTCGCCGACGAGCTATGCAGATGGTTAACATACCGTTTTTCATAGCCTGGCTGATTTTCCATTACTCCTCCACCGCCAACCATCTGTACGGAGCATTGTTTCTCACTGGCCTGGCTGGAGGACTTCTTGAGGCACCTGTAAGTAAGTTCAATTTGATACTGATAGTGATCTGTAATGATATCCACACAGTTAACCCTGTAGGGATATATTAAACGAAAGTAGAAATCTAGTAATGCGTATATTTAGTGGAAATCGATCAAATATCAAGGTTGTAGATTTATCAATAGATATGTTTACAAATGAGAGAAAAAATATTATTATTGCAGAATAGTATCGATTACTTTTGCACACATTCATCCAAGTGGAAGATTTAATACTAATATGTCCTTATTAATTATCACATTGTAATGAGATATTTTCCTACACAAAAAATTGGACTCAGATTTTAAATTTGACTTTTATGATACATTACTTTTGATATCTTAGGTGAGACGTGATGTGTATAGAAATATTTAATAATATATGCAGGGATATGCATTACCTGTCGGTTACCTGTTACCTTTTTTTTTAAATGAATCCAAAAAAGAGACTTCTCAATTCGACAGTGTGTTTTGTTGTGTGTTCATGGATAATGCTGTCCTTTACGAACCGTTTTTGATACGACCTGTTTGTTATTTTGGATTTGATGATGTAATTCTAAACAAAACGAGGAGAACCTTTGAAAATATTAGCTAATTCGGAAATCTTCCGCCATTGTAGGTAATCGTGTATATATTTTGTGTTCCAGTAGAAAACAATTCCTAGAAAAACTTTACCAAATGTTGGATAATATTATAATGGGTTTAGTAGTTTATCAGCTATTTTGTATCAAGTAGCCGTCTTCTTCTATTTCAAAAATTTTTCTTGTTGGTTCCACCTATCACTTAAAGCCGAATAATAATATTTTTTTACAAAAGAAAAACGAATGACAGCGAAATAGCATATGGAAAATAAATTAACTAATAGCAAACTAATAAGTATTTTAATTTGTTTAATCAGAAATTATTAAATTGTTATTTAATATATATATATTTTAAAGTCGGTGCTAAGTAAATGGTAATACAAAATTACCTTAATATTATTATATAAATCAAAATAAGTATAGACTAATAACGTTATTAGAAAACTATAAAAAATCTTAATAATAAAACTAAAGTACCTATTGTTGTGCGATAGATAAATTTATTTTTTCCTTTTTACTTTTCTGTCTGATTACTATTATAATGTTTTTTGTTTAAAAATGATTTCATCCATAGATGTTAGATGACAAGAACGTGTATGACGTGACATATGAGATTTTAACACGTACATTAGTAATAAATGTTAGTGGGTTAATATAATAATTATCTTGACACTGATAAAAGTCGCTAGTAACAGATTAAATAGTTTATACTATTCTCATGAAGGTTCTATTTATACAGCTTTAATTGTATCTTTCCGTAGTGTTGTAAAAAATTCAACTTTAAATATTCCTTTATCATTTCAGTCTCATACTTTAAAATATCTATATAAGTATTTGATAAGGTAAAAACTTTTGGAGCGTTAGTAGAGTAAATAAATTTTTGCTTACCCGTTTAAAATAGAATATTGTTACTTTACCTTTTGTCTTACTTAAGAAAAGAGTCAGAAATAAAGATAGTTACTATGCTGGAACGGTAAGGTCGATATAAACATTTTAATGATTTTTGTTCAGAGTCTATTGGTTATTTCTAGTTTTCGAGGCTGAACTCCAATGCTTCCATGAATGATAAATATAATTGACATTAAAGATTTATTATTATTTAGGAAGGTTTTAGATTACAATAATATGTATTTTAAGCTAAATACTTATAAGATGCCATCGTCAAATTACATACGAAATATTTATTCATAAATATCGAGCATTATAATATCGCTTATTAACGTAGGTTATATGTAGAATAAGGTACGAGCAGTGGTATATATCCTGTTACTATGAAAATTTAAAATCCAAATACTCAGTAACAAATTAACATGAAAAAAATACTGTCAGTTAACTAATATATCAAAGGAAAGGTAGCTACTTCCTTACGTATCAAATAGGACGACGGTTATTTGCCAAACTGCAAAATGTGTAAGATCATTATAATTATATGAGACTATCACGTTCTGCAATATTTTGTGAGTGTATATAAATATTAAGTCCCATATTGGTTTTCTGACATTGGCAACGTTGTACATAACTAATATGCCAATATTATAAAGAGATTTCCCTTTGAAATTGTTATGAACAAACTTGTTGACAAAAGAAACGTTGTCTATTAATTTTTGTCCAATTGAGTTGCTATCTGTTTTAGTAAGAAATATTGCTGTGCTGCTTTCAGAAATGTCATTGAGTTTTAATCACAATCGAATTATAAGTATGACACCGGATCGAATCTTATGAATTGTTTATTGCTTCCTTAAATAGAACTTACTTCTCGATACAAATCAACATTTTTAGATCCAAATAACATCCAGGATTTATTTTTATCTATAAGATTATATTATGCTTTTCTCGTATTCAACACAAAAATTGAACAACATACTTAATTATTATAAAATTATTTATGACTGTTATTTATTTATGTTTTTCATTTCTCATTTATAAGCAACACCTAGTTCTAGAAACAGCTTTACATCACATACAAATATTGATAACTTATACTCTATTTATGTCTTTAAAGGTGCTAACATATGTAGCGGAAATTACCCAGCCTCATCTGCGCGGGGCCTTGACTGCAACAAGCTCAATGTGCATCATCATTGGAGTCTTCACTCAATTTCTCTTCGGGCTCTTGATGTACTGGAGGACTGTAGCCTTGGTCAATATTTTCTTTGCGGTTAGTTTATAAAAATACTTCTTTTTAATTTATATACATATTTCCAAGACTTATTCTAATATCAATATTCCATATAATACTGAAAAAAGGCCCAGCTTAGCCAAAAATCTATAAACCTATAAAGTGATTATGTTTAAATATAACATCGGTTGAATAAAGTCGTGAAGTTTAACTGAATAATGTTGGATATGCATACAAGAGATTGTTGAATGAAAACACATTCCTAGTAGCAAACCATTTCATAACATTTGAAGATAATAACATTATTATCTTACAAATTACAAACAACTACCTATGGTACATCCACATGGATGCACAATAGAACTAGTTTGTAATTTGTATCCTCATGGATGTACCACAATTGTTATGATTTGTACGGTTTTGTCTTAGTTATAATAAGTATCATATAACTTATATAACATTACGAGCAAAGAAATATTCAGACTAATCAAAAAAACCTTCTCACTAATGAACTTGAGAAAAAAACAATGGATATATAATAATAGTATTTAATTTGATTTGAAAAATAGAATATAAATATAAAGATTTAATATTTTTGATTTCAGCTCATCGCTATACTAGCACTCTTCTTCATACCAGAATCTCCTCATTGGCTTGTAATGAAAAAAAGACACGATGACGCTAGAAAGGTTAGATTTTAAATACAATAATATGTGTTCAACATTACTCAATACCTTAAAACTTCTAATTTTAATATAATAAACAGAGCCTACAGTGGCTGAGAGGCTGGACGACAGCACAGGACGTTGAACTAGAACTAAGGGATATTCAAGCTCTGTTTAAACAAAAAAAAGGTAACCTTATAAAGATATCACATATATGGACAGAAATATTTAATGCATACATCAAAAATTAAAGTTGTAATAACTAATGTCATAAAATATATGCTCTCGTAAATTAAATACACTAAATAGCGGATCTGGAAAACCAGAAAGTAATGTAATAAAGAAACATGTGAAATGAATTTTAAGATAATTATAGCTATTATTAAAGTAAGTATTCCTTTCAAATCATACAAAAATTGGCTTGATTCATAACAATCTTTATGAAGTGAACAATCTTATGTTATTAACATAATCAACATAACACAATCTGCGTCTCAAACTATTGAAAAAAGAAGAACACCACTTCTCAACGTTTGTTATTTGAACATTGATACCAAAGTTCTTTTCATAAAAATATCAAATTTATAGTGTAGAATTATTTTTAAATCTCTATTTTAATATTGATTTCTTCATTCTCATATTATTCAATTTTGAAAATTTATTAAACAAATGATTTTTAAGATTTATTAAATGTAGGTGTATTAATAAAGCGTATAATAAAGAAAACTAAAGATATATACCATAACACTTGACAATCAATCTGACAAGACCTCGTCCCTGAGTTAAATACCTTGCAGAAACAATATTTAGTTATATGTTTCTACCATACGAATAATAATATATTTAGTTGTTTCTGTTTCTGATTGTTAAATATATTAATATACACAAAACACACTCACGTGCATATTTTCTTTGATACTTATAAATTATTATATTAGTAGGAGAAATTATAAATAGTTGTAAAATTACATTTTATCTTATTTCTTGTTCCTCATAGCTGAAACCGGTCAAGAAGAAACTTTTATGGAAAAGTTGTCATATTATCTTGACAAAAGCTTTCTGGTGCCATTCTTCTTAGTGTCTTACGCATTTTTCGTTGGTCATTTTAGCGGCATGACAACCTTGCAGGTATGACCCTTTATTAATTATTTTAACTGTAAAACTTGTAGTTAAAAAAACATTAAATAATTTGCTCCTATAAACTAAATATCATACTTTTGAAACTTATTATCCTAAATTCCAGTGGTATAAGTATTAAACTGACACAACTCTTCGCACTGCAGACATATGCGGTGTCAATATTTCAGATGTTAGAGGCTCCCATTGATAAATATTACGCGACGCTTATACTTGGTCTACTACAAATCATCGGCTGTGCTACATGTGTGATGCTGGTTCACTACACAGGAAAGCGAATTTTGACTTTCTTCTCCACGTTCAGTGCTGGAATATGTTGCTTGCTAGTTGCTGGCTATGAAGGCTATATCAAAACTGTAAGTCATACTGTATTTTAAATTAAACTAACACTTCTATCACTAAAGATAGTTTTATTTAACAAGAAACTATCGAATTAAATTTATAATATATTTTTACAGCATGATATATTAGGCAACTCGTCAGCTCCTATGAATACTAGCAACATTACATCTGGAATCTTAGATGGTGATTTGGTAGGTTTACTTTAAAAAAATACATATTTGAAAATTTTTCCTGTTTCACATCTGGTTTTGTTTTCCAGAAAAATGGGTATTCGTGGATTCCAACAACACTTCTAATGTTGCTGGCTCTATTAACGCACACAGGAATAAGGCTTTTGCCATGGATTCTTATTGGCGAGGTAAAAATAGTATATTTAAAATTTTTAAGAAGATTTAATTATAAATTTTTGCGAGTATGATGATTATACGTAGTATATTGAAAAAAAATATTAGAGGAGTAGTTTCATACACATATGAGTAGATATCACATGTACTTTTAGTACAAATTTGTATAAGAAAGAAAATACTAACAATTTTAATGTTCAAGGATTGTCTGTGTTACGAATATAATTGATTATTTGTGTATGAAAGACATCGATGCACGTAAAATTTCACTGATTTTCTATTCAACCTAAAACGTTTAGTGAAGCTTTTATAAGACATTACTAACATTCAGTTTAAGGATCTTAACCACTGTGTCTAGACACATTAAATAGCTAATAGCAGAAAAGCCTTTTTCATCTGAACTCAAATGTAGATACGGCTCATGTTAAGGCCTCAAGGCCTTTTGTATAATGCGTTGATAGGTACAGAGAATATAAAAAACTCATAAATAAGTGAACAATATAGGTATTGCACGTGAACGAGAATCGTCCTACAATTTGCTTTTATAGCTGCTGTAGGTAATAAAAATTTACGAAGTTTTAACGATTATTTTACTTCTATCGTCATTTATATTAACAGTTGCCTAATTTCTTAGTATTTATTTTAATTTTCAACTGTACAAAAATAGTAAACAGAAATATTTTGTAGCTAGTATGAAAAAAATATATATTATTATATTCTTTTTATTCAAGGTATTCAGTGCAAAGACGAGATCTGGTGCAGCAGGATTAGCAAGTGCTGTGGGATATATATTTGGTTTCCTAACTAACAAGATGTATATAAGCATGGTGGATACTTTATCTATTTGGGGGACATACGGCTTCTATGGCATTATTTGGTAAATATACAATTAACTAATAAGACATACTTATTTGATTTAAATTTTAATACGAGACATTAAAAATGTTCTTTTTATTCACTAAAATCATCTTCTATGTCTTACTTTTTACAGTCTCACAGGATGCGCTGTATTTTACTTTATATTACCTGAGACGGAGGGCAAGAAGTTGTATGACATTGAGAATCACTTCGCTGGAGTAAAAAGATTGACAAATGAAGTCTATCGTTCAAAAGTATGTAAATGTATGAAATTTTTATTAAATCACCAAAACATTATAAGCATACAAATTTATTATTTTTTTTTTACAGAGGAAGATAAATATAGAGTTATCAAAGGTACGGGATTTACAAGGTAATACAAATCCTACGTTCGAAGGAGACAATATAACGATTCGTCAATGACTACGAGTTTACTAAAATATCGAATTTATTTTCATAACATTTATACCAGTTAATAATAGGATATAATGAACGACTTTCTCATACACCTTAATTTAATAAACTTGTTTCCTTAAACGAAAGAAAACATTTATTAACTAGTGGCCAAGATGTTATTGAATCAGGAAAAAAGATCTTTGTATAAAACTTAAGGTTCAGTTAATCTTGTATTTTTAAAGCCCATATTATAAACTAATTATTTAACGTTAAATATTTTAAACCAGTAATAAAATTTAATTTTTCGTAAATAAAAATAAATTTAGTAAATTAATTGTCAGTTACCATACTTAAGAATATTAAGATTTTAAAACATAGCTCTATTTTTGCTTCCAAAGCTCCAAAATGGAATAAACCCAGAGAAATAGATATTATATTGTAATTATGAAAGGATTTTTTAAAAGTATTTTAACATTAATGACATGACTTACTTACAAATACAATTTTCTTATGACGTTGTGACACAACCGACTGTGATTTAAAAAAAAAGATGTTAATATTACTATTCTATTTATTGTTTTATTATAAATATAGTTAATAGGATTTTATATTTAACATATGATGCTGTTGTATTAAAAACTTGTGTTTCAATTGATAATAATTATAAAATTCTTTTATGGATAAGGGATTTTTATTTTCATGTCGTCTATCTTCTAATGATTTTTATTTCTACTAATATTTTGAATGGGGTTGAAGTAGCATAATTTTATTTATGGTATCATTCACGAATAAATGAAGTATTGTGTAATTAGTAAAATAGTTTTATTTTTGTATTAAGCAGAAAAGTCGTTGTTGTATACTCGTTTAGATGAAGAAATTGTCTTTATATGGTTTTCTAGACAACTATAAAAACTCCACCAGAATCAAGGCTGGCTATACTTTTTTAATTCCTTCTATATATATTGTACCAACCCAAAGACGACAATAGCACATACAAATAGAGGGATAATATTTCACAGCCTCATTAAAATACAAATTCTCGAAATTAAAATGAACCACAAATAAACATAAAAGAAAATAATAGTTGATTATGAACATATACCTATCTTCGAAGATCACAATTGTTCTAGAAATTCTTCTGATTCTGAATTTCTATTGCTATAGGTTCTCCCATTGCATGGTGAGGTTTCTAATTTATTAAAAAATATGTTTTTTTACTCTCGTATATACCGCAAGCTTTTTAAATAAATACAAATAGCTTGGCTTTCATACAAATATTTTTTGTATTTAAACTGTACGTATAAAACGTTGTCCTTTAAATACGAGTGTTTATAAAGATGGACGTATGAATGGATCTCACACTTTCAAACAAAAACCTGAATAGATTTTAATATAATAATAATTTATTCATCCCGGTTTTAGACTTAGTTAAAGTTCCTGCGGTATGCCGCACAGATTTTTTTTTTCCTGACACACGATAGGTAGTTGGCGCTGACGGTTGGTTAAAAAATATTCCTTAAACATTTATCTCTTATGCTAAATAAAAACCCTAGAGTGGCAAAATTGTTAAATATGTATGTGTTTTGGAATTTATTCACAAATGTTCTTTAAAATTTACAAACCTATATTATGCGAAAGTAAATTAATTATCAGAAGACTACTGGAACTATTTCCAAAACAATTTGGAAGAAATGAAAAATATTCACAAAATAATAAATGGTTTACCGCAAAAAAATAATGTATAACGTAACTTTAATTATATCCGATCAGACACAAAAGAAACCGATTGTCTCTAAATTAATTGAGCTTATTCGGAATTCCTAAAAATTTCTGTTATGACTTCTATTATATCTGACTTCCTTTATAGTTTATAATTACCTTTGTAAATTAAACGAGATAGTGGTGCCAATTTGTCGATTTAACATTACATAATACATCGACAAAACCGGCCTGTACCTACTACATAAACGTCCTTGAAGAATGATAGCCTGTCCCCCGTTTTATATCTAAAAAATATATAGGTACTTGAAGAGCGTGGGAGATGTTTTGTAAAAGGCCAATAAACACATTTCAGCATGTATTTAAAAGGAACAAAATAAAAATAAAATATCGAACTTCTACGATTAAAAAATATATGTTTATTTCACAGATATTCATTTAATATAAAATTTGTACCGCAGTTTAGTATGAAAAGTAATCTTGCGTTGAATATTTATTTTCTTTAGACAGACAATATATAATAAAAATATGGAGTCCACAAAGATACAGACTTTTATGTAAAGCCAATAAATTAAGACTAACAAAAATAGATATTTTCTAATTATAGAAGAGAAAAAAGTTTATTTCTGTATACACAAATTAAATCTTTATTAACTCTACTCTACTCTACTTTAGTAATAACGCACGTGCAAAAATTATTGGTCACCCCACAGTAATAAAAAAATTCTTAGGAGTTATCATAGGACATTGAAATAAAACAGTATTTAAGATAACAATTCCCTTCTTTATTCATTTATCAATTTGATAAACGTAAGTCTCTTGAAATACGATAGTGATAGTTGCGTAAAAAACTTATATGATTATGGCAAGCTTTTATATCGCAAAACATCAAAGATACAGAATACAAACTATAATAAATTGTTACCCTTCAAAAGCTTTTTAGGTATGTCTACATTCTTATTAATTCTGTACTGCGATATGTCATAGATGAACGAAATTATTTAATGGGATGTAATAGAGTCTCGAATTCTAGTTTATAAAAATGTATAATACATTCATTTTCTTATAAGTCCCATAAAAAATCAAGTTTTTATTTCATTTACAAAAAAAGAAAAAAAAATAACACAAAATAATAATAATAATAATACAAAATGACTTGATATATTTTATTAATCATCAATATCTTTTATCAGGTGACAAGAAATCACACTTATTTCTGTCAGATTATTGCCATAATAACATAAAGCGGCAAGGTTCGATAAATTATTAATTTAGAATTTACGCCTTTAACAGAAAAAACGAAAACTTTATTTAATTATATATGATTTTGAAGAGAGGGTAATAGCTAATTTTTAATTTTCAGAACCATAGATAACAACTTGTTTTCGAGCTCTATGAATCTAGTCCCTACTCTTGGCTATGTCCAACGAAAAAAAAATTGACATGCGAAGCATTGCATGCGTGACGTGAGTAGTAGACGTGAACAATCGAATGACACTTTTAAAGATTTAAAAAATATATTCTCATACACATATTGTTGTTGCAGATTAAATATTTTTACAAATTTTTATTCATATTACATAGTAACAATTTATTATAAATACTGATAAATTAAGTGTTGAAAAAGAGTATTCCAGAGTCTAATAGTGACAATTCCGTTTGTTTATTGGTTAACATCCGCCATTTTGTACTGTCGTTTGTTTAGTGACTGGCTCTCTTTCCTAGTGATGCTATACATTTCTCCAAACATATTGTGACTTTGCATGTGGTGTACAATGTTTTTGCTAGAAACGTTGCTTTTCAGTGTTTTAATTTGATCTCGTGCTAGTTGTCAAACTGACGTCGGTTTAACTTTACGTATTGCCGGATGTGTCCTACAATCGGTTAGGGCTATTTAACGTGCCACCTAGAGTGGTGTACGTGTTGCGAGACCTATGCTGCCGAGAATATGAGTGGCAACGGCAATCAGGTGCCGCTGGCGCCAAGTCAGCGCGGGCCCGGATCGTATCCTTTTTCAAATTTTGTTTATAGTTATTTAAAAGTTTTATTATTTACGTAATATTATCTATTTCAGCTTCTGATCGTGCCGCATTAGCGAATTTATAACGTTATGTTATTTAGTGTAATGAATTTGCAAAGTTGCAACCTTTATTTACCGTCGCATTATTTCACGAACATAATATTTTGAAGTTACAAAATGTAAAAACATTTGAAGGTAGATTTGTATAAAGCTTGTTTTGAGGTATCTGTTCGCCAGAAGTGTGCTTCATTACATTGTAGTTCATAATGTGCTACTATTGCTTCACTTTTATACCTGTGTGCTTCTTTCAGCGTGTATTTCAAGCTGTTTATTTTAACCCAGGTTGGCCCCCTGCAATAATAAACATCAAGTTAATCGGTAAGTACAATGAAATCACAAATTTTGTATTACTTTTTGAGTTGTAGGTATTTTTGTTGAATGTTCATATTTATTCATTGTAGTTAAAACATTCATGTTAACTTAGAATTAATAAGCTCAAGCGATGTTATTTTTATTACTGATTGCGATGGATTATTTTTGCTAATAATTTAGTTGTTGAGCCTCTAAAGTGACTAAACCAATTATTGGAAATCGTTTTTCCATTATTTCATGATTAATTTATGAACATGATATATAAGTTTTTCAATATTTTCTTTTCTTACTTAGTATATCAATACAAATATTGTTAAATATACTAGTAGTATCTTCGTCATATTTAGTTTTTACATAATGTGTTGACCCATAATTATAAAGAAATATGTAAATGGATTCCTTATCTTTGTTCAGATGTGATTATTAATTGACATAATTAGTGAAATAATTTCATTAATGGGGTAATCAGAAACAAGTACAGTATAGATCATAAACTAAATGCTTTCTATAATGACAACTTAGTCTATTACAAACTTTTCTTGTCTCTGGTTACAAAGTACCAAGATTTGTTATTTTATATGCAGGTATGTAAGTGTACTGTTTTTAATTAATTAAATCAAAATATATAAAAATTGTCTTCATTTGAAATGTCTTTGTTTAACTAAAAACACTACTGTCAACTACAGAATTTTACTTATGAGTAATTTTTGTAACAGGATGTTCAAATACTATGATACTGCACTTAAAGTTATCTATTTATGGTAGTGAAACATAATATGTATGTATCAGTTTCATAATAAGAAAACTTAAATGTAGCAATTCTTATATCTGTGGTAGATTGTCGACACAATTTGTGTTTTAATGATATGGTAGTAGCTGTTTGAACCATTGTCATCTATAATAAACAATATCGGTTATTTTATTTTCCATGATGATTTTCTTTTAATGATAGTGTAGAGAATTTTTTAGTGTAAGATGTTGAAAGTGTTTGTTATATTGTATAATATACTTATTTTACTGCCAAATTAAATTTCACTTGTTAAATATTTATTGGAAGTATTCAATATGAAACACCATCTTAGCTCAAGTAAAAAATCATAAATAAAAATAAAAAATGTTACTTTCCAATGCTTCCAAACACCGTCAGATAATATATCTGTTGTTGTATTGAAATTTATGTAAACTAAAATATATTTATTGTATTTAAAGGTATGTTTATAAATGTTGAATGTTAAGAATGTGACAAAAAAGAAAACAAAGTGATTAAACCAATGTAATAAGTTATTAAATATACGAAATGAAATTGCAGATTGCATAATGATTTTTCTGCCTCAGAATTTAGTTTTTCATGTTTGAGTTTTTATATTTTTTATTTAATATGAAGCAATATTTACGAAACTAAACCACAGTACAAAAAACATTTATAAAATGTATATTGGCAGAAATACATTTAAAAAAAAAACAAAATTACAAGTACTGGAGTCTAGTAGTATTGCATTTTTGTATTTCCTTAATAATTTTTTTTAGTTTTTGCCCCCACATCCTGTTAATTTTTTAAATATATAAAAATAGTGACAGTGAACAAAAGAATAAGAATACAATTTGAAAGAATTATTAAATGAAAACATTTTCCAAAGCATGGATGAAGGACATAAATTAAAAGAAATTATTGAATTGGCTTTTTAAGTATTTGAAATATTTATATAAATTTATATTGGTTGAAATTAACAATTGTTATAAAATATTGTTCATTAATTCATATTAATATCTGAAGCAGCATAAGTTAACAGCATTGCAAATGAAAAGTCATAAGTATTATCGAAATTAGACAAAACATTTCACAGGCTTATGTTTCAAACAATAAACATATCATGCATTAGTTAAAGTCTTATGAGCAACAGTAACATTTCATTTGACTTCTAAGAGGTTCTGATATCAACACATTTTGAGTATGAATTCATTATTAAATGTGAAAACACAAGATTTTATAATTTTCTGAGGCTGGCCTGGTTAGAATACACTGTGACTATCCTTCTGACATGACTTGCACACAGTTGAGCACTTGAATGACAACTGGTTAAGGGCAATGAAAATATTGAAAAACAATAAATAATGTTCTCTTACTAGTTACTTTCCATAGAAAAAATTATATATTGTTAAAAGAGACATTATAACATACTGGTATTATCAAAGAGAAATTTAATAATTACAGATTATCTAAATCTGATGAAAATGGAAAATAAGAACTGTTACCTTTTTAGTTTCGATGCTCATGCTTAAGCCCAATATATTTGAATAAATTCCTATTGAGTGTTGTAGTTCGGTTGAATATAAATATTCCTTGGTTGTCAATCAATGTCCCAATTCGCTTCTAGAGCGTTCCTTTAATGATGGTAAACTCGTACGTACTTGACACGTTTACGGTTTTTATGCAAAGGTCATTAGGGAGAGCTTAGAATTATAGCTTTTTTATAGTTAAATGTTTTAAATTTATGTCGCAATTAAACTAATAAATGCTAATAAACAGCTAAGCCTTTCGAGCTCGTGTTGTAACTCGAGTCTAGTAACGAGTTATCGAATCGATATTTCGATTCCAGTTAAAAGAAGAATATCTACTTTGGTTATAATTAATAGCTGAGTTTTTAAAATTATGATTTTACACATATTAAGAACTAAATTAGAACTAAATACTTTTATTGGTAAGATTGTGGCCTGCTGAATTGTGTATCGATATCACAGTAGCTTCCATTCGATTATTTTCATGACAGACTCGCATAAGGGTGGCAAGTCCTCTTTCGGTAACGCCCCCAATTCGAAACTACGGATTACTATATACCTTTGTCTCTTTCATGCGCTCTCAGCCCTTCGCATGTCACGAAATGAGATGTTCAACGGGCTCTATACTGATCACGCCATTTTCCATTCCCTAGTCTATATCACGAATAAAATATAATTTTTAATAAGTAAATAGTAGTATATCAGTGCGCACAAGTTAGTTATAATAAGAGTTAAAAACGTGAAAGTGTTTTGGTTGTAATAATTTCAACGCGAACGGGGGAGCCATGTGCCGCGCCGTTTCCTTATCGATTTTCGCTATGCTGCATTAAATTACTATTTAAATTGTGAATGCGGATTACAAGTATTTTAACATTATGCCTTACATTCACGGGTGTCAGAGAAAACCACGATTATAGTTTAGTGTTTTTAATATTTTATGGTGCTTATTTCCTCACCTCGAAATACACAAGAAACATTTTATAGCACTTTTTGAAATGTCAACGTGAAGCAATAATAATTATATACATGTTATATTTATAATAGTATGAGAATATAATGTAGAGATCGCCACATGCCGGTGACCGTGTCTCCATTGTTCTGGGAATGGTTCAATATTTGGCTAATACAATTTTTGAAGAATTTATATTATGAAATTAAGATGGTCGCTCTGAGAGGTGGTAACAGTTCGTTGAGCACTGTGACGCACGGCTGCGGGATTCACGGTGGACAACAAAATGCCCTAGATTTGACACATCGTTTACAAACATCGCTTGGAATGCAACTCGGGACTGCGTCGCATGCGGTTGGCCATCACACTAGCCATTTAAATCACGCCAGCCATGGCAATCACTCGAACCACGGCAGCCATACGAACCACGGCCACGGAAACCAGCTGAACATACCATCGCTGAGTAGCGTATCGGTGCTGATGCCGCAACAGAATGCAGCCTCGCTCAAGCACGAGCAGAACACGCGCTATTCTAGTTCCAACTGCATGCTGCAATCGCACCACTACAGACGGTTGACGCAATCTAGTAAGTGGCCTATGTCACTTCACGCTCACGGCATACGGGCGCTTGTTTGATTCTTGATATAATTCCGTGTATTATTTCGATCTGCCATTGTTACTGCAATAATAAAAAAAAATAATAATACCATAAAATGTAGGTACTTCAAATTATTATGTTCGTTGTAATATGGGTAATGCACCGTGAATTGACGATTGTATGCTATACGCTTATCGTAATTGTTTTGCAGTAAATTTCCTTAGCATTATTTTCAGTTATCCTCGGGCGTCAACACCACACAGTGAGTTTGAAGTCAGCCATGAAGCTACTTACCAACTATTTAACATAAAAACCATTGTAGTCTATGAACATTACCAATATTTATATTAGTAACTCCCATACATAGCCCCATTAATGGTTTAAATGTTGTTTACCCAAAAAAAATATGTTTATAACTAGGACTGTAATCTATACGAGAAGTTAAGACGAATAAAAAATTATGACATTACGTCTGATCATGCTTTAATGGTGACGATCGACTTTTTATACATATCGCTTTCTCCCCGTTTCCATTTACTATACAGAATTTTCTAAAGAAACCACCAAATATATATATATATATATATATGTATTAAATAACTAAAAACTTTATTAACGCCTGTGTACTGATGAATATTTTTCGTTCGATAGTGTTATTAGATCATTACAACAACATAACGCAAGTGCCCGCTTCAGGACCGGAATGTTACCATCCGTCGACGGGTAACGGAGCATATATGTCCACCCAGACTCAGAACATGCGAGGTCAGCCCTCACAGCCGTCAGCACCGCCGGCTCCTCAGCAGGACATGTCCAAGACAACCATGGTAATAATACATTGTATATAGGATCTCATTCAAAAACCATTGTCACAGTTATACCCATTAAAACATATGTAGTTAGTATAAAGCCTTCATTATTATTGGAAAATCTACTATACCGTGTAGCCAGTAGCCACTGGCGTTGTATTCTCCTAATAGAATTAATTTAAGTACTCACTAAAGGGATTATCGACACATGGTCGTAACATGGTATTTAACTTTCGATTGCATACATTCTAATCTCATATCATGGCTTTCTCAGCACCTGTAAGTTTGATAACATATTAAAAGCGACAGAATAGATAATGTTTGGTTTTATGTAATAAATAATAAAATTTTAATAACAAATTGTATAATAAACGTGTGTAATAATGAAAATATTATTTATTTCCAGGCTGGTTCCACGTACGTGTCACCTCAAACCCAAACACCGCCGTCGCGGCCCCAGTATCCAAACTTCCCCTACAGAGCTTCCCAACACGCCAACAGGCCTAATTCGCACCCTAGGTAAAGATAACAACCATAACCATAACGTGGTTTTACTACTACATAATACATATTCTCATTGATTATCATATTTTAATTTAAATGTTATAAATTTCTAATTAATTATTATCTGCGAAACGAAACGTATAGAACGAAATCTAGTCAGTTAATAATACTTAAAACTTATAAGATAAAACATTATAATCAAGGAAGAACAAGTAATTATGAATAATAAAAGTCTGCTTCACTCCAGTATTAGACGTAAAGTTACGTCTAGGTCAGTGTTATACTTTAAATAGACCCCTTGTTAATGAACCCTAGTAAGATGTGTGGGGTGCCGTCGCGACAAGTCATTGGTTTGGAAACTCGTACGGTAATCGATTGTTTACGTCGTTTCTGTGCAACAAGTTCATATCATGTTAAATTTAACTAATAAACTGAACCATATATTCTAGTTGCTAATCTTTTTATTATTAACATAAATTTAGATCATTGAAAATTTACTACCTTTTTTGTGTGTTAACAATCAATACTAAAATAGTTATTTAAATTTGATAAACAACTTAGTGTCTCTTCTGACATTTACATATTTATTATTATTAAATGTAATACTGTCGTGTTATTATATATTTTGTTTTCACATATCACAATAAGCTCAATTTCTATAGTGGCACACTTGTATTGTCATATTTTAGTCTGAGGGCTGTCACCCCTTTGCATATTTAGACATCCTAACAAATTTAAGCCAACATGAAACACCCTTTTACAAATATACATACATTATTTAGGAGAATCGTGAATAGTACAGTGTAATTTTATGCATAATCATCTATATATGTGCTACTTTGTCTTATTGGTGATAGAAGTTTCCTTACTATTCGGTTATATGCAATTAATATATGTATCGTTATTTTCTGTATGTAGACAACAACAGCAGTATATGGGAAGCGCGGGTGCAACAACGGCTGGTCCCGTTATGTATCACCACGCTTTAGTGTTCCCGCCAACACACATGGGCATCCCACAAAGCTACCCGCAGCCGCGTTCCAGTACACCTGGGTCAGTATTGCTAATAAAACACAGGAATTGTGGGCAAGATGTTCTTCATTTCATATATTTTTATTTACGAGATCACCAAAGTACCCTTGCATCATCTTTCACACTGTTCTAGGTAGGTTTTATTTGTTTGTCTTTCTGTTTGTGCCAATAAAACAAACAAAAAATTTAAGTTACTTTGGTATATACTATGTAAATACGGGACTTACGAATTTTATGTTCTCTAATTATTCCCTCGGTGACGTTAATATTTTGTCATTGAAACGAATATATTAAGCACACCCAGCAAGTAGTTAACGTTATAAACATCTTTTACTATAACTATAATCATTACAAAATAAAATGTATTAAAGAAAATTCTCTGATAAAAGATTCATAATAGCTGTACAATTGTCATATGACATGACAATCCGATCCGTGTAAATATTCTTTTGACCTTGTACTATTGGCAACGACCACGTCGCCCTGAACGTTCCGATATATATTTTAATTATTATTTACATTTACTTCCTTATAGATAAAAATCATTGAAGAAGTCCTTAAAGTTAACATTCGCCACGTTGTGTTTTTAAGAACATTAAATTTATTCCGTTTTTTTATTCTTGGTTATGTAATAAAATAAAAATAAATAATAACTCAGCGTAATAAAAAATATAATACGTATATTTTTAAAATTTATAATTATTTACTATTATCAATACTCTCTGACAATGACCTTGTAAGAAATTTTTCATTCTCTAGTCTTTACATGGGATAGTGTCGTTTGACGTTGTGAATTAGTGCTATGGGTACATACAGGTGCATTCTTAGATACACGTGGTATTAAACATACGTTGTATTGATCTATTGTCAATGAAGTTACGTAATCCATCCGTACTTAAAAAACCACAGCCTTTTCGTACTGATACTCGTACTATTCTAGCAATCGTAGAATTTGATACATTTAAAACTAAACTTTAATTCAACTTTGTACCACAATTCTTTCATGCCGCAATTTGATGCTGTCTACAGAAAGTCACAATATATGGATCACGGGTAATACTTTTGTTTTAGACGTGCATGATCATTTATAAAACAGGTTATATGTAAAAATTCTTTTAAATTTATGTTGTATATAATATTTTTTTTATGAAGGCGTATTATTTATGTAATATGTTTCCAGGTATTACCAATACGTGGCGCCTTATATAAGTTACACCACTCCCGCCGGTCACACACCACCCTGTAAGTATAATTATATAACATTATATACCTCTATCAGTTAAAGTTAAACCTCTATAAGTTATAGTTATAGTGTGTTAAAAAAAATTCGAAAACATAAAGTTGTTATAAGTTTATGCATCAGAGCATAGATAGGTACTTATGTCTTTAAATTTGCTCACTTGTAAGAGTTAAATAGACAAAAAGATTGTAGGTAATTCTAAAGTTTGACCAGCTCCATTGCTAGCTGTTATGTATACTGAAAACAAATTTCAAATCATTTACTCATCCAATATAATTTTTAGCCTAGGGGCCGTTCAAGTATAACCTAAGCAGATATATTACAATTATTTAGCCCCCCATCCCCCTTGTCAGCAAAAGTAAGCAAAGATCTTACCGCCTCCCCTCATGCTTACGTAGACATTTTCAATTACTGTATTGTTTTTTTTAAATATATTTATGGATCTTCTCGATGTGATGATAAAAAATTAAATAACTATCGATAACGTAATGATCAACTAGACTCCTATACCGCCCATGTCATCCAAAATAAGCAAAGCAAAGACCCCCACCCCTCCATAGTGCTTTTAATACTTGAACGGCCCCCTATATGAAGGGTTTGATTTAAAAACTAATGTATGTAATTTTTATTGTCAGATTATTATCCATCCAACGGGCAGCAGTTGGCGGCAGGCAGTGTCGGTGGTAGCGGTGGTCGCACCAACCCCGGTTCGTTAGTGCCGCCGCAAGGTGCCGCGCCTGCCGCTCCCTCGCTGCAGCACCCGCAGCAACAACCCCTCCTACACGCGACCATTCCCGGTACACAAACAAACATATACAACAGTTAGTGATTTTCTATTAGACAATAATATATAAAACATAATTCCGTAACAGTCATTCGTTTGATAGGCTTTTATTTCACTTTTGCCATGTTTCTATAATAATTATACGAATACTAAAAAATTAGACATTTGCTTATAGAATTTCTAACAATTGAATTGAAATTTTGCATACTTCTTACTTTGGATTCCAATGCAATGTATAATTTCATACTAAAACAATCTAACTAATTAAGTAGAATATCATTTGTTTGAGCTCTCAAATGGTATGGATATAAAATTTAAGAAAAGAATATCATTTCGTAAAATACTATCCTTGTATACTTATAAATACTACATTTAAACTATTTACTTTAGTCTAATTTAAAAAATATTATAAAAAAAATATGTTAACATAGCAGCTAATGTATATGGATATAAATTATTTATGTTTTAAATGGAAGGTTCTGATTTAAATTATAATTATTTATTAATTTCTATTCAATCAAAACCTGTTATATAATTGAAATTCTCTGAAATATTTATTTGCGATCCATTATAAAGTTATAGTTTGCACGCATAATTCAGTAAAATTATAGTTCGATACTGTTAAATGTGTAGATGATACTTGCATGTTTAGAAATATTTGGGTTACATCGCTTTGTTTAAATATGCAAAGAACATCGACTTATGGCTTCACTAATACACAAAACTTATATTCCTTTAATATTTTTTGTTTAGTTATTATTCATTTTAACAAAAGCAATAGTTTTAACTTTTAAGATAATACCGCCATTGTATTCATTATCGTCTTTCCTTTTATACGATTCCTGTAACTAAGGTAGTTTTGTACTATTTGAAATATGTTATTGTTCTATTAAGTGTTTAGCTTAATATTTAAAAAGACTTTACGTGAATTTTGTTTTTGAAAATTAAATGGTATGCTTTTGTATTATGGAACAATGATTGTTACTAGGTAATTGTTGTTTGGTTTCAGGTATACGTACGGTCCCTCCAAAACGTACATCCCATAGACTTGCAATTATTAACCCCTTAACAAGTAAGTTGGCAATATTTTTAACATTATATAATATAGAGTTTGCATATTTATTAATACGCATCATGTCGGTTATATTTCGGAATATTGAACAAAAAGAAGTTTTCCATAATCGAAAATAATTATTGTGCAATACTAGATAGAAAAAATATTTATGAAGACCAGACTGAAAATGGTCATACTAAATAAATATTATTATACTCAACGAACATTAGCCTAAGAATGTATTGAATATACGTAACACGATTAACGAAAGATTTTCTTGTAATAATAATATTGTTAATATATACCTTTATTATTTAAATGTCAAACAATACTATAAAATGATTTTTATATTTGCAGAACAAGATATATTTTCGGAACAATGTAATAATGATAGCCAATTTATTAGTGGTGATTCAAGTGATCGGCAAACTCCTCAACCAGTAAGTTTTTAAAATAAATAATTGGTAGGTAAAATAATTTGTTAAAATTAATCAAACATTGTTATACAGCAGGAACAGCAGCCAACACATAGTGCCGCTGAGGAGTTTCTAAGAATGGTTAATGAAGTAGCGAATCAGCCGTCAGCTAGTGAAAGTGCTAGTAAATCGAACTTTGTTTCTAAGAATGTCGAAGTGCCTGCCACAAACGCAAGCTCCAATCAACCTCATACAAATGCAATAAGTACTATTAATAGTAATAATATAAAGTCTGAAATATTAATTGTTAATGAAAGTAAAAATGTAGGATCTGAAATTATAGAGTCCAACGAAACGCCGGTTGTATCGGCAATATCGGATAGTCCCGTTGTAGTGCCTAAAATGACTGTGAATACTAAGCAACTCCAAAAGAATAGTGAACAGAATCTGCCTTTAACCATAGATAATAGTAAGATTATACCGAATAGTAAACCACAAAAACAAAACAAGATCAAACCAGTTGTGCCTCAAGATGAAATAGAAAAGCAATCAGATATAGTGAATTCTATAGTTCCTCAAAGCGTTCAAAGTATTATACAAGCGCCTTCTGAAGCGGTTAATTCCGTTTCACCTCCGAGCGGCACTACGGCGTCGCCGGCTGTGCCTGCGCCAGTGCCAGAGGTAGCGCAGTCAGTGCCGGTGCCGGTTCCAGTGCCGTCTATGGGGTCTGCTCTCTCTTCTCTGACGCCCGCACCACAGCCACAGAGAATAAGAGAGCCCCGAGATCGAAACAGATCAGAAGATAAAGAAAAACAAACAAATAAACCTAAGGAGCAAGATAAAGAAGCATCCAAAGCAAATGGTCCTGTTTCGGTTGGTAAGTATTTTTTAATTAATACAGAAGTCATTTCAAGTTGATAAAAGTGGAATTTTCATAATTTATTCCAAGCCTAAAACTACACTCTTGTAGCAGTATTGAACATTATTTTAGTTTTAGCAAGTTAAACATTTTACAATAATTTGATTAGACTTATGATAAGACACTACGCAGTTCTGTATTAATCGCATAAATAGCTAACCTTACTTTTTAAATTAATTATTATGAAAAAAGTAAATAAACAGGTTAAACCATATTCAATATGCAACCAAAAATCAAATTATATATGTTAATATTAACGGCGTTCATTATTGCTACAATAAGTAAAGAAGACACATAACCTACTAACTATTGTTAAATTTTCATGGCGTTCTGTAAAATATTTAATATGAGAAAATGTACAATATGGTCATTCCGTCTTTCGATACAGTGTTAAAAAACATGCGAACGCCGATTTTTAAAATTATGAAAATATTTTTTCTATGGCGTTAGTAACAATGACGTTTATCGTACTGTGAAGTGTAATTAAATATTTTATATTCTGGAATATTTAACCTATGACATAACTAAATCACTCTTCTTTTGTGTTATGTCATTAGAATTATATTTTAACAGTAAACATTACCTTCGGTATCAGCTGGTAAAAATTCCGTATCTATTTTTTACAATGGCAACATAGCAAATGTCACAGATAATCATATCTATGTGACGTAATGAGTAGGGTTGTTCTTTATCATTGAATATTTTTTTATTATTTATTCTATTAATACGCACTATTAAATTTTTGATAGCCAATAGTTCATGAAAATTAATAAATATACTTAAAGTTAATTTATTTGCTAGTTAAGATTAAACTTGTTACACGAAATATAAAAATTGTGTTTTGACTTAAATCAAGTTAAGAGATACACAGATTACTAAAAAATTATAAGTTTTTACCCTTAAATATTATGTATTTAAATTAAAAAAACATTTGGTGACTGATATATTTACATAGACAATATTATATCAAGGAATCGTATATTCTATATCGGTTTTTAAATAATCGTTAAAACCTGAGAACCTAGCGTCGATCGATTTCGTACTTGCGCACAACACTAGCTCTACTCGGTCGACTGTCCGCATGGAACGATTCAATATGGCGGCTTTTACTTCATAGTCACTTGGAGTTTGGCTGCGTTTTAAATATTTTTAAACTTTATTAATTTTAATCTTTTTTACAAGTTGATGATTATAATTCAGCATTTTTAGTTTAATAAATTTTTATCTAAGTTAAAAAATAAGCAAAGTGATTAAAGTGAAACGAGTGCTAAAAGTCATTCTAAATCCTTGAGTGACCTTTTGAATAGACTTTCTTTTACCATATTGCTACGGTAATTCAAAAATTGCACCTCCTGAAGGATACTCCAGAATAAAAGGATTTGCTAACTGTGATATATTAAAGCAATCAGTGCCACTTTATACTATATAAAATAAAATTTCTCAGGTATAGTACAAGATAGAACTCCCACGTGGAAATACCTTACGTCTCTATTTATAGACTTCGAACTTGGTTCACAAAAAGCAATAGGCGATATCATTACTGCACTGAAAACTGATATTGTGTGCAATTAAACTGTGTCTTTACTAATTTTGTTCAATTTACGACCGCTTTTACTATCGTCAAATCTGGAATTCCGTTAACGAGAGCCCTGCCATTTTGTAAAGCTCTGATAGCTTTTGTAGGTGACAAACGTCTCGTTATCTATTAATTTATTATTTAAATAAATTCAGTGTAGATTTCTAAATAAGTGTCACTCCTAAATGTCGTCGTAATGTTACTTTTTGTCGGTGGCAAATACTTTCGCGTGTATTAGGACATGGTGATATACTACATACCTACCTACATTAATACAGTTATGTCTTTATGATGCAGGACAGTGATTAGACATTTAATACAAATGATAGTGTAGTGTATACTTTTAGTTATTGTATAAAAGTATGTAGATATATAATAAAAGTGAAAGTAACCAGTTCTATGATTAAAATTCAATTAAGTTCATATGGCAGGGTGACTTATATGTCGTTTATTAATCTATAACCGTATTTTAAAATAATTTATATAATTTTTCAGAGATTAGTTCAGTTGATAGTATACGAAATACTATCAAACCTCTAACTAGTCAAGTAAATCAAAACCTAGAAGCAGATATACCAAAAAAGCAACCAGAATTAGAGACTGAGAAAACAAGCGATAAGAAACCTGAGGTTGTGATAAACAGAGAGCCTACATTCCCCGTCAAACCTACCCCCACTGCCACTGAATTATTGTCTGCTAGTATTGAAAAGGTTGCCAAGGAGCAACCACAAGTAGTGCCTGAAGTGTCTCCTAAGAAAGAAGAATCCATAACAATCCAAGCCCAAGCCAAACTAACTCAAAGTATAGCAAGTGCTGCACGAAATCAAACTGAATCTAAAATGAAAGATATTAATCTGAATAATAAGACAGGTTTGTTTAATTATAATGTTATAAAAAATATAATTATATTATATTCTATTGTGTGTAATAAGTATAGTAATAATAACAATACAATTGTTTTAGATCCTGATACTGCTAATGGAAATCCCACTGAAGCTACTAAGGTGGAAGCAGTGAAAGACGAAGGAAACAAAAATGAAAAAGCAGTAAAGAATTCTAAAAATAATAACAAAAAATCTAATAAAAATGCAAATGCTGATGTTGCTCCAAAAGAAACCGAAGCATATGAAAATGGTAAAGAAGAGATTGAAAAAATTACAAGCAAACAAGAGAAAGTTGTAGCTCCAGAAGAAGAAACAACTGAAATCGCTGAAAACTCTGCACCAGCAGCAGTTCCAGAAGCTCAAACACCTGCACCAGTTTCAGCACCTGCACCAGCTGTTTTTGTTCCTAAATACAAATACTCTGATGGTAAAAAGTTATTAATGAATATCATATTTCTTGATAAATAATTTTCCACATAAAATTCATAAATTTCTTTGTTTTCAGATCAATGGTCTCCACTAAACAAGTCTGGTAAAAAGACTTATGACATAGGTTTACTTATGCAAATAAAAGATGATCCTCTTTGTAAGAACAAACCAAATGCTCCTTTGTTAGAGGCATGCAATGTGATGCGGGTAAGCTATTTAACATTTTAATTATTATGATATTAGTTTTTATTTATTACTTTACACTAATACTTTTTTCAGACTGCACCAATTCAAGAGCCAATGTCATTTAATGCAATTTCGAGACCAATGAATGATGCAGTGTTGTTCCCCAATTTCCTTAAGAATTCTAGTGTGGGTAACAGAAACAACGCTCCGAGAGAACACAAAAAAGATGGCCGAAACTTGCCTCAGAGTGGTAAATTTGATTAATGTACTAAAAGTTGAAGAAGCCCTAATATGTACAAAATTTAGTTCTATTCTCATTATTTGCTTTTTGTAGTTATCCTAAAACATTTTGGTATAGTTTATTTAAGATTGGCATTTTATTTTAATTTAATTTATTCTTTTTTATGTTTTTGTTATTTTATTTTTGTTTTACTTTGATTTTATTACAATACAATGCATACTGGATTTTAATCTACACAAAGGTAAGAGCAGCGTTAAATTGACACCATCAGGTAGTGGAAGCAGTGGTCACAAACCTGTTATACATGTGTCACTCTCACTGCGCGAGGAGGTGAAGCTTAACCAGACCAAGGATGCCTGGAGACCTACAAGGTTCAAGAAGGAAAATCTCTCTGAGGAGGAGGCCAAGACACAGGTACAGTAATAAAAAGCTAATAATAATTTAATTTTATTACAATGAATCAAATTACTTTGTATAATCTCATAATTTTATAGGACATAGTAAGCAATTTTTTTTTTCATCATTAATTATAATTTTTCAATATTTTCTAGGATCTGTACAAGAAGTTCCGTGGTATTCTTAACAAGCTCACTCCACAAAAATTCGATACATTGCTGGACAGAGTCAAGTCCCTTGAAATCAATACACAAGCTCGTCTCGAAGGTGTTATCGATTTGGTTTTCGAAAAAGCCATTGATGAACCTAATTTCTCTGAAGCTTATGCTGCTATGTGCAGTAAACTTTCCATGTTGAAGGTATATAATGAGTTAATTAAACTATATTAACATAAAAACATGGGTGCCAAGTATTTTGTGATTTTTCTAGGTTCCTTCAAACAATGCTCCTGATCAATGTGTCAACTTCCGAGCACTGATTGTCACAAGATGTCAGAACCAGTTTGTTACGGATAAAGTGGATGAACAAGTACTCAAATTAGAGAAAGAGATCAGTGAATGCACTGACCCTGTAAGTAGCAGAAGATAACGAAAATGTAGGAAGTTAAAACATTTTATGCCATTAATATTAACTTCTTATATTACAGACCAAGAAAAAGGAATTGCAACTTCAACTTGAAGAAGAAAACAGGCGTGTCAGAATGAGATCAGTGGGAAATGTCAGATTTATAGGTTAGTTTAACAATTATTTTAATTATAACATTAATTAACTATGGAAAAAATGTATTTATAAAAATTTTAATGATATAATATTGACTGACTCATGATCTTTTTCATGACGCTGCAGCTTCTTGCGAAAAAAAAATATCTTAATAACTGCTAATCTTTGTACCTGTTTGTTAAAAATCAAAAACTGCTGAGCGAGATTTTTTAACAATATTCTTTAGGGTTAAGTTCCAAGTCTTTTAAGTGCCTAAATTTTTTTAACAAAACAAATGCTTTTTTCTATAAATACTTCTTTAAATTAATTCATAGACTGAAATGCAACAAAGCAGAGCGAATTATTATGCAGTTAAGCAGTTGTACAATTGTTTTATTCTGATTTTATGGCCTTAACATGGCGACTTGAAGTGGTGATATCATGCAAGCGCGTATTAATCATGCTTTGTATAACCAATTATAATTTCTATAAATTTAATTTTGTTTTTCTATTAAAGCAATGCATGCAATATTTTTACATATATTTAATGTGCCATTGCTTTAAAAAATGTTTTAGTTTATGTTCCTCACTCCTCAATTATTCAGAAATATTTGATTAAAGTCATGCTTTAGTTTGTTTGTGTTGTATGAAATATATACTAAAAGTACAGTTTTCTTTTGAAACAAGATAAAGTTAATTTGCAGTCTTGGTAACAAGTTTTAATTTATTTTCCTTTTTTATCATTTAGAAAATGAGGGACTAATGTGGAAGGTTATTTTTGCATGTACTTATTTGTTATTCGACGAATAATGTTCTTTGTTTTCAATTTCAAAGCCTAATGATTGTTTTATTTTATTATTTTGTAATACATAAGTATATAGTACGATGCGATGATTTATTTTTATTATTTTATACAGTATTATTACAAAAAGAATAGAAAATATACATAGTTTTCTTTTTGTTACAGGTGAACTGTATAAACTAAAAATGCTTACATCCAAGATTATGGTCTACTGCATGACTTACTTAATTGACAAACTAGAAGAAGAGAAATTGGAATGTCTTTGCAAACTCCTCACTACTATTGGTGAACAAGTAGAAAGTGAAGTAAAAGAGCAACTAGAAAGTGTCTTCAAGAAGATGCAAGATATTGTTGATCGTAAATCAAATAAAATAAGCAGCAGAGTGCGGTTCATGATTCAAGATGTGATTGAGCTTAGAAAACGAAGATGGTTTGCTAAGAATGTTGTAGATTTGCAGCCCAAGATGATGGACCAGATTCAGAAGGAAGCCGAACAGCAACAACGGCATATTGAGGTACATATACAGGGTGTTCTAAAAACTGTGTCAACCCTCTTAACTGCGTTATCAGTATCGAAAATGGAACACAATCAAACAAATTACATTTACAAACTCTTCAATAAAAATAATAAAATTAAATATTTAATGATTATTATATGTAGAGTAACAATGTTTGTAAGCCCTGGTATAACACGATGACACTCAATGGCGTCATCACACCTGTTGCGCTACTAGTGACGAACTCGAAGTTACTTTCGCATTATTGAAAATATCGATATTTAAAAATCATAACAATAAGTAAATATTTAATATTCATATTATTTCGATACTTATTTTGATATATCAAACATTCGTATTATTTTTGATTGTAAAACACCGTTTTACAGAAATAAATTAACGATTTATCCTAATAATACAACATAGTTAATTTACCTGAAGAAGGTCGAAATTATAATATTGATTAATAATATTTATTATTTATAAAAGTTATTTTAAATGAAATTATTTTAATGTGAAAAGCATAACTATTTATAGCAATATTAAAATATCGATACAATATTAATCGATATACCTAATTTTTAAACTTGCAAATCTCTATTAGAAAAACTAACAAAATAGTAATAATAACGCCGGCGGCCCGCTGCGGTGAATGGCCGCGCATGCGCCGTCGCGTCTATACGGTGCCTTGACCTTGTATGGGTCAGATGTTTGAAACATTTTTTCAAATAATGTCGATTTAAAACTTATTTAGCCTATGTACTGTAACTGACCTCTGCTTGATATTTTTTAAGTTATACTATTTTTTATAATAAGCTTATACTTATATGTATACATGCCTTCAAGGGTTGACACAGTTTTTAGAACACCCTGTATATGTGTGTGTATGTTAAGTATTATTAATTTTGGTATAATATTTAATGGCATGTACAGGGCCACCAAAATTTTAAAATATTCAAGTTTGTCTTGTTTTATTTCTTTTATATACCCCATGGGATCCACAAAATTTTGTCATAAAAATGGTTAAGTAACATACAATTTAATTTCTTTCTTGTCTTTTTATAAATATTAAATATTCAAAAGCTTAAACATGTAACAAAATAATTGTACTAGTATATTAAACATTGTTCTGTTATATAAGCCATTGATACTCCAAATAATATTGCTCTTTATTTTTCTTGGAATAAATCTTAAGATTCCAGTTATTATATTTAATAAATATTTTTTCAGTTAATGAATGCTGCTCCAATGGGCGGTGGATTCCGTCGTGAGGACGGAGGCCGCAATAAACGCGGCGGTCGCCAAGGATCCAATTCCTTCATGGATAACCAGTGGAAAGCCTCCACTAACTACAATCGCACCAACTACACTGTTGATACCTCTAAATTTAAGGCAGTAACACAGAAGGTAATATACAGTATTAAATTAAAAGCTATGAATATTTGTTTGATAAATACCTATGTACAGCACTAATATATTTTTATATTTAATAGAATCTTACTGATATCAAACTGGCTCCACATAACTCTGCTTGGAATCATGGATCTGGAACGAAGAACACAGCTCAAGCTAGTAGTAACTCTATGATTAGTCTGTCCAAAAATATGTACAGCATGCTTGAAAATGTGCAAGCAGATCCCACATCACTCAGAAGTAAGATTGTTAAATCTGTTATATTCAAAATCATGTGTGATTTTTTATAACTATTTGGGTATCTTATAATCAAAACTATTGTTTCTCTAGCAAAAGATCTCTCTCCTGGTTATCAACATTCAAAGTCCATCGAGCGATCAACCTTCAATTCCAGAGGTGAATTTATGAGCTAATAATAATCTATAAATACTAACCTTGTGCTAATATTACTTTAAGTCACTAGAAATCAAATGTTTTGTCTTTAAATACTATGTTTTAACTGTGCTTTTTGTAGTCTAATTTGTAACAATGAAATAGTATCTTTATCAGATATTATGATTCATTAAATATATATTTACTCGTACTTTTTTATTGCAATATTGCCCAGACATAACCATTATTGGACAAGGTAAGTAACATTCTCTTAGCATTTTGCACTAATTGTCAAAACTGAAAGTTGCTTATATAAATCTCCACAGTTACATTCATAATCGTAGTACAACTTTGTCTATTAATCCACAAAAATTTGATTATTTATTAAAACCCAAGTAAAAACAGCTGGCACGTTACAATAAAAATGGACTGAAAATTTACAGGAAACGGCAGTAACAGTCGTTCCGGATCAGTTGGAGTTACAAGATCTAACTCTAGCAGCCGAGGCCCAGCCACGCCTGCGCCGCCTCAAGAGAATACACCAGCCGCTCCTGTCCCACAGGAACCTCTGCCCGAAGCTAAAAAGAAGGCATTCAAAATGCTCATCATGGACAGATTTGTCAATCCCAACGATGAAGATTTGGTGTCAGAGATCAAGCAAACCGTCGCTCCGCAGTATCATGCCGCATTGGTCACGGAGACACTCAATATTGCACTAGAAAAGTAAGTACCGCTCCTCCCCAGTTTAAAGATTAACTAACTACACACGTAGATTGTGGATATACTTAGGTTTTCTGTTTCATTATGCTATTTCCTTTCCCTCACAGATCAGCAAAGGAGATTCAGATTATTTCAAAAACACTACTCCATTTGGTTTCGACTGGAACTATATCAGCTGAGAACTTCGTGACTGGAATCAGTGAGATTTTGGAATTCGCATCCGATCTTTACATTGATATCCCAATGTTATATGAGTACTTAGGGAAGATTATAGTACCACAAATTGAAAAGAAGGTATAATATCCATGGCATATAAGATGAACTAATCGTTTAAGATATCTTACTCTAGTATAAAAATAAAACCTTTTGGTTGACAATGTTAATGTTAATATATTTATTATTTTACAGCATATCACATTTGTACAAACATTTAGATTATCTGAAAACATAATACAATCCAAGCACGGCCACTTGTTCTTAAAAGCAATAATAAGAGACTTAAAAGATAGTATGGGACCTTCTTTCGTAAAAACGAAATGGCAAGAATCTGGTCTTGAACTGAAGCAATGGATGAGTGAAGATCAGGTTAGTGCTTAATATTCTCTAAACTATCATCTAGAATGTTGTATTTATTTTTTGATAGTAATCAATTATTCATCAATAAATAACAACTATTTTTTTAGGTACCAAAATGGCTAGAAGATAATAAATTTGAATTCTTGGAGGGCGGTAAGTCCAGTGAAGAGACGAAAAAGATTCTTACGCCACAAGAAACGCAACGCATATTATTGCAGCTTATAATTAACGACGAGAATTGTGATTGTATACGAGGATGGGTTCAGGTTTGTAATACTATCCCACGATTATGATCGTCATAATGTTATAAATTTGAAATTAAACAAATTTATATTTTTAACAGGATAATCTGGGGGCGTCAGCTAATGAAGACTGGTTTATGCGTGCTTTAATACAACCAATTTGCGAGTACGCATTATATGGAGCCGAAGGACGAGACGTACCTCACTTTAGCCATGAACGTATGAACAAATACGTTCCGCTCATAAGCGAGTTTGGTGAATCGCGTGAACAACGTGAACTTTACTGTTTATTCGGAATACAGCAATTTATACATAGACTGGAACACCCTCAAGGTAAGAACTCAACACATTATATGGAATTTTTTTTTGTTGTTTTGCGAACTTCGTTTTGTAACCGATGATAATCTGTTTCAGGGCTAACATTAGATATATTCCAATATTTACACGAACAATATATAATATCTGTAGAAGGTTTTATTGCATGGGAAGAATCTGAGATGGAGCCGGAAGGCAAGGGTATGTATTGATATGACGTATTAGATACACTGTGCCATAAGGAATATATGTACAAATTGACTTCACGATTACTTTTTGTTCACAGCGGTGATGCTTAAGGCGCTCACGTCATTCTTCACAAATATTAAGGAGGCGGAGGCCGACAACGAGGAATCTGGTAGCGAGGAATGACGTACCGCCCTGGCAGCGCGCGCCTTGCGTGCCGCCGCGACCAACACCCCCGATACAACTGATACTTCTGATACTACCGACACTACCGACACTACTGACACCACCTATACACCTGACACTCCCGGTACTCCCAACTCCCCTACCGCATTGGATCCCCAAACCACACCCCCCCGACCCAGCGTCTTCTATATTTTTATATATTAGACTTAGGTGCCTATGGTTCCAACACTCATAGATATATTTATATTTTAATGCTTTACTTAACCGATGCTAGAAAAAGTTGTATATTTGTTATTCGTAGATTATTTATGAAGTGGACTTAAATTAAACTTCAAAGTATGTAATTGGTCGCTAGAATGTTTATTTAAGGTAAAATTTTGTGAATGATGATTACGATGTGGCCGTACAATATCTTGATTCCAGGTGAAATTACTAAGGCCCATTATTCGTGTAGTTTTATGGTTATATATTAAATATAGTTATATATTATAAACAGGAATGTGCACCGCTATTAATTGAGGGGTTATATTCAATTAGTTGTACACGTTATGATAAGTGTATGAGTAAAGTTCTATTATTTTGAAAGGTTATAATCTCCAATGTATTGTACTTCGAGGTGAAGTAGTCAGTATGTGCTCATTCCTGTTTGACAATCAACATTTCAACTCGGGTTCAAGATATTGAGCGAAGGTCGAGAGCGTAGCTCTGTCGCCAAGCCAGCGATTTGAGTCCGCAGGAAAATTTATGATACTGTCTGAAGTAATATTGCCGAACTTTATTCGAAATAATAGGTTGTTTGTATTACATTATATATATAATATATATTTATATATTCAGCTATTACGATTTTATACATGCAAATGTAAAATAATTTATAGTTTTATAATATTTACATAGTTATGTCTTTATCATAAAGAGCTCTGTACATTTTTGCTCATTAACGGATACGCGAAAACCGCCGTGCGCTGCGTCCGTTTGAAATAATATTAAATAAGGACATAAATAATTAAGTTATAATTTATTTTGATATCGATTAACACATTAATTATTGTTAAAAATATATACAAATCATATACCCAATCTTTCGATCGGACTGGCCGTAAATCAGACACCAAAATGATGACTATAACGGACCCATATTAATTACCATATAGATTTATGAAACGAAATAGCTAATTAATATTAATCATTATATAAACAAATAGTCTTATATAATTAAAATAAGTGAGGAATTCATATAGGGGGTGGAAATGGCGTATTGCTGAACGCTCCGTCGCATCGGCTAGTAGGATACTGCTCCAACGTAGGTTCAATGAGAGGTGTTTACAGATTATAATATTATATTTAATGTTTGTATATTATTTTGTTTTCAATTATATAGATATAGACAGCTACTTTTTGAACTGATATAGTATGTTTAATGTATAAAAAAAATAGAGTTTTTGCGTATACAAAACATAGTGAATAATTTCAGTTACGTGGTGTTTTCAGTTTTTTTTAGATGGATATTCACGTCGTTATGATACAATTATGTACCGTTAGGAACTGAAAATAATAACACCAAATCATGTAGTCGATAGCGTATCGACTTAAGTACTGAATGAAGTTCACATGTAGTTAAATTAAAAAGTATTCGCAAACATCCACAGGTATAATATATAAGAAATGAAATGATATAACGTTATTCAGGATACGGCCGTGTGGCCGGCGGCGAGCCGTGGGCCAGGTCTTATAATGAAGTCATTTTTTTTTCTTTTAATATATATTATTATTATAATTATTTTGCTTTCTTTTACATATTTGATTATTCCCTGTCACTAAACCTCCGACTGCATGCAAGTAGTGTCGTAGATCATTCTTTTTAATTATTTTTATTTTTATGTTTTTAAATTTAAATATAATTATTTTATTATAATGTCTCAGTTAGCTGAAACCAATGTCTCAAAAATCCGTGGTGATGAAACTGCATGCCCCGTTTCTACTTTTTACTTTTCACTACTGAGTTTATTATTATTGATTATCTTGTCAAGTTAATGTATGTTATGTAAATAAACTTTATATAAAGAATACATTTTTATTTATGAAGGAGAGTATACATTGATTCGTGTAAAATATATTGTAACGAGTTATTAGAATTAGTAAGTAACTCCATATTTTTTTAGATTGAAATATCAAACATTTGTATTTGAAAAAAGAAAATGTAATTATTTTTGTTAGCATTTGTAAATTTCAAGACTAAATTTTATATCAAAGAGCTGCATTATGTCTTTAAATTGATCTCTGAGAACTTCTACGGTCTTACTCCAGTAATTTCTTTTGGATTCTTCATCTTGTATCTGTATCTGGACTTGTTTTAGTTCTGCACATAAGATATGACTTTATTTTTAATTTTCCTGTTATTCCTGTAACACTTTAAGGAACTCTGCTTGAAGGTTCTGTCTGGAATGTTATATGCTTAATAGATTTTGTTAGATTAATATACTATATTATTTCTTAACTTTATTTATTTCGGACCAAATTGAACTTTTTGATGCTATGTTTTTGATGTAAGTGTTAATGTGAAAAGAAAAAAAAAAGAAAATCAAATCAGATGTCGCTTTAAAATGTGGTAATTTTTAGACGTTTTGGTTCATTTAGGTACCTACTTTGTATACGTTTGCTAATTATTATTTACATATATACAGGGTGACTGGTGAATTACTATCGATACTTGAGGACGTGATATTTGACGATCATATATAACAAAATAAAAATTAATATAACATAAATATTAATAAACTTCTAAGTAAAGTTGACCAAAAGTTATATAATTAATTACGCATCGTCTGAACACCCTACAGATTAGGTATACACACACACTCACACATACGCGTGCTCGGCGTAGTGTTGTATCAGCACGCCGCCGCACGCGACCACACTTGGAACACTTGGAACGTGTCAACACTTTATTTATTTATACGGAAATTTTGTCAAAAATTAAGTGCCTATTTTTTTTACATAATTCGAATGAGAATCATGTACCGAATATTCTCCTTAAATGTTGATAGTAATTCACCAGTCACCCTGTATAATGTTGATTGTTAGTCCCGTGGCTAAAGCTTAAAAATTTCAGGCACTGAAAACACAACCACAATGTTGAGTGTTCATATGGCTATTATTTTTTCCATTATTTAAATTATTTCATTCAATTTTATTCTTTTTTGATTTTGACATTTCGATCATAAAAATTTTATAAAATGATATAACCTCATATGACACCGGATAAATATAAGAACCAAATCGTCAAGGAAAGGATTGGCGTGGAAATTATTTTAAAATCAAATCAAAAGTAAGAAATCTCATAGAAATAAGTAATGTGTGTACATGTATTGTGCATTCACACAAATCCTAAAATGGAATTTGAAGACGTACTGTGGCATACTCCGCACGATATAATATTAAGGGCAGCTCGCAGATCTCTTTCGCAACATCGACCTGTATACAGCAAACGAGCCAGTGACGGAATGAACTCCAGAACGCAACGCAGGGGAAGTTCCGGAGACCGCCACTGATGGATGCTTAGCGTCACTATAGAACAAACTATGTAGTAATAGTCAGTAGTTACAAAATTCAAAGTTAATTGACAAAGAACAAAGGTAATTGACTAAGTAATTGAATAAAATGTCAAGGACTTGACAGATATTTGGCCCAAAATCTCTTGTTGAAGGTGGAAAAATTTATCGATAATACAATAAAATATCTACTTTCTAACAAGTAGTTAATCTATCTCACCCAATGTATTGGCGTAATAATAACCAAGAAGGCGCATAAAACAACTGAGATCTGAGTCCTGTCGTTGAGTGAGTTCCAAGTCGATTCCGAGTTGCAGATGAACTTCTCGCAGGGGCAGACTTGGTGTTAAAAATCTTCTCACGTTATCATAGTCACGGATTCGAACTAGCCAATAAAATGTATTAAATAAACCTCATTAAAATCATATTCATCATTATCTTACATACCATTTTGGTTTGTCTATCAGAGATCTTTTGACGTGATAACGTCTTTAAAATCGTTTTAGTCGGGTGACATGTTCAGAAATTTGTGTCACACCAAAACTACACGAGCGCGATCGCAGGTATAACGAGAGAGACGGACCGATCTCCCATCTCATCTCGAGCGCTGCCAGTCATTCCGTGAAACTTGTCACGCGGAATCCTCACGAGCGGAGGCAGGCATAGCGTTCGAGTGAGTGGACCGATCTTCCGTCTCTCTCACTCTAGCGGCATACAAACGAATGGAGATTTTCTCGTGCGGTTAAGTTTTCGTTGAAAACGATAGATGTAATTTAAAATTTGAGAAAATTGTTATCTTCATTTATTCCTTACTTCCCAAAAACTTATATCACCAATAAGACGTTATCACGCAATCATCTCGATCGTAAAACTACTTTACAAACAACCAAATTTTTTTTTTTAACTATAAGACCTTTGTTGAATGTTGTCTGTTGTATGATGTGCGTATGTTTATTGTTAAATGTGTTAATAACGACTAACAGAAAGCCATAAAAAGGTACAGATCGGGGCAAGCGATAGTCACACGTCGCCAGGCAGTGTCAGGGATGCCGTAGCCTCCGCAACCAAGACGTGCATCTATTTTCCCTGGGGTTTGATTTTCACGACAGATTATCTGTAGAATAAATTGATAATTACCGTTTTTATAAGATTCAAATCAAATTGGAATATCTACTACTTTTATAAATTCATTCTCTGGAGTAGTAATGTTAGTAATTTTAAAAGGATATTTAAAAGTAAAGAAAAAATATTTTTTGCAGTTCTTTAATATATTATTTCAACTAAATTAACCAAATTCTTCTAAAACCAGAATGATTGCAATTTAACAATTAAATTTAATTTTAGGTTTCAATATGAAAAAACCTGTAGCCGGAAGTGTGGTCGTCTTATCACTGGCAGAAGTGATAGAAGAGCATTTCCGGTACCATCAGCTATGTGAGAGTACTCCAGGGCCAAAACACGAAGACGTCGGAGCTCTCCCAAGCTCCTCAAGAAGCACTTCCTAGACTCTGGACGCGGTATATATTGCCCACTACCTACACCAATGGCATCTATCATTGGTTTCTGTTCTTGCAAAAGAAACTAATTCTATTTTTTAGAATACCACAGTGAACAATGTTCTTAACAAATCTTTTACTTGCAAAACAGAATTCCAATTTAGTTTAAAAATACTCTGTTTTCGATGATTTAATAAAAAAAAACTATTTGATATATTTTTTTTTCAATCAGTTGGTAAATGGAATAAATCCTACTAATATTATAATTGCGAAAGTTTGTGTGTGTGTGTGTGTATGTTTGTTACTTCTTCACGCTCAAACGGCTGAACCGATTTTGATAAAATTTTGTATACAGGAAGCTGACGTCCAGGAATAACAAATAAGCTACTTTATATCCCGGAAATCTCGGAAATCCGCGGGTAACACCGCGGGGCGCAGCTAGTTATCTGTATAATTTCTAACCAATATCTATTATAAGTCTAACATAACACAAGAAAACAAAATCAAACTTTTTTTTGTTGCATGAAGTTTTTCTACTGTTGTTTACTAATTTGGGTGCGCTAATTTTAAATCTACCCTCAGATTTTTTGTAGCAGCTCTAGTTAGGCAAATACAGGTACCGTCTTGAATTTACATAAGTTGTCAATAGTTTCTATCAATAGCGGTGTAACTTCACTAGTCCCTTTATAAATTTCATTAAATCTTCCTCAAGAAAGAGGTGTTTAAATAATCCTGAGTGTTTTCGTGTTATTTGCGGAGAATATATGTTCCAAAAGTGTAGTTTAAATACGTCAGACTTTGTAAAAAAGGCATACTTCGACTACTTTGGGTTTCCGTTGTTATCAAACGCTAAACCTTGGATACCAATTTTGGTGTGTAAAAGTTGTGTTGAATCTTTGCGACTGTGGGCAAACAAACAAAGATCCAATTTTAAGTACAAATCTATGATATAGCGTGAACTATCCAATCATCATGACGACTGTTGTTTTTGTGTAACGTAAATCATAGGAATAAACCATAAAAATTGCTCTAAGTGGATATGTTCAAACTAAAATTATGCCATAAGACCAGTCTTTACTATTACTGGCATATCAACAACACAGCAACCAAGTAGATCTTTGGAAATCCAGACCAGTGGAGCGGACAAACCGAAAACGACGACATTGGTAGTGACAATAGTCCCCGATCACTAAATCAAGATGATCTAAATGACTAGAGCAGGGATCTTGTCTTAAAGTTGATAGATGATAAAAATTTCATCAACCACATGACAGCTGTCGAGAAATGTGCATGGGAAGAGTTTGTTTGAGTAGTGAGGAATTTTTTGAGCAATAGGAAGTGTGACGGCTACATTCTGCACGTTGAACAGTTGCTGGTACACTTCCAGCGGCATGAATGCAACATGAGTATTAAGCTTCACTATCTTCACAGCCATCTAGACTATTTTCCTGAAAATCTCGGTGACCTAAGCGAGGAACAAGGAGAGCGCTTTCACCAGGATATTCGCACTATGGAGGACAGGTATCAGGAATGAATATATGATGACTGATTATTGTTGGAGCATTCAAAATAGTACTCAAGATACATCTCACTCTAGAAAATCCAAAAAATCAAAAATTTATTCAAAATAAATATATTTAATAAATTTTTTAAACCCAAACTATGTGCATTTTAATGAAAAACCCTGTCACCTGATAACTTCAAAACTAGAGCTGCTACATAAAAACGGCATATATTTTTGAAATATGCGTTTAAAAAATTATAGACATTCATGTAAAAAATCTCAGGCAACAGACATGCTGTTTTCCTGTGTAATTTAACAAAAGATTATACCGTTCTGAGTAAGATAAATTAAGAAGTAGTTACGAAAAAAGGTAAAAAAAGGAAAAAATAAATTGAGAATATAATGTTCTCGAAATTGTAACACATTATTAAGTTATTCTTTAGGTATAATTACACCGCTTAAAACATGTTCAACCAAATAATCTATATAATATGCGTTTCGTTACGTTACGTTGTTAATCGGTTTGTAAGTTCGAAGCGAATATTTAAACAAACACACCTCCATATACATACAGTATGCATTCCATTCATTCTTACATGCGTATACCATGAATTTCACGAAAACTTTTTGCTATTTTTTACAATACATATTGAATTTAAAGCAAGTAATAAATTTTTGAGTTCAGCCTTCAAAATAAGAGTGTTGAAGTAAATGATGTAAATTGAATAAAAACAAAGAAAACAAGCTACACAATTAAAATTTATATTTAAATAATGAAAGTGAATTAAAAAACAAATTTAGTAAACGTTAATATTCCACGACACTTTGTGGTGTTGTTGCATTTGAATGCGCTTCGGGTAGAATGGCGGTCGCTGTGGAGTTCTCTATCTTTTTATATTGAAAGTTCGGTAAACATCTGCGTGCTTCATCAACGGTTTCTCTTAACTTGTCTTGACCAACACGAGGTGCGGTAAGTGCTTCTTCTTGACATTTCTTAATCAAGTCTTTCATGTCATTCTCTTCCATTGGTTTGATAGCATTTGTGGACTTTTCTTTGTGTTGCTTCAGTTCGCTATCGATACGCAATAGCTTCTCTTTATTTGAATGGATCCGCCAGGGTCTCTTTGGGTCCGCGACCGTCGATATAATGTTCTCCGATTTCATTTCCTTTTTTGCGCTAAAAGAAAATTAATACGCATTAAATTTATCGAACATACTATAATTTTACATAGATTAAATAGTTCTTGTAGATAAACATAAGTGTTGAGTATTGCTAAGGATTTTTGTACAACCGTTTGCTCTCTGCTAATAGTGCCTTCAGCTTTCTTTCATTTTCTTCTAATAGCTGTTTGTCAGGAATGTACGGATTTTCATACGTTTCGCTTTCCAAAACTTCTTCCTCTACTTCTTTACCATATTTCTCTTGTATCTCCTTGACCAGTCCGAGACTCCTTTCCGGTGTTTTAATTTCTGGAACCTCAATTCCTTGTAATAATTTTGCTATTTTGCATTTATCTTCGTCCGTAGTCATTTTTAATGCAGCTATTGTTATTGTCATAGCAACGTTGACATCACCCAGGTCAACAACACAGATGTTTAAAAAAGTTTGCGAGGTAAATTTCACATTTAATACTGAATTTGTTTTTTTTTACTATTCTCATAATTTTATACATATTTGTACCAAACTTACTTGACCATTTCAGATATTTTGAGACAATAGATCAAATTGATGTAGTGTTCACTAAAGCGTTCAACTTAACAGAAGCTACATTAACGTAATACGTGGTTAATCCTCCAAGATAAACACCCATCATGGTGAGAAACGCAGCACATGGCAATAGAAAACACACCAACTTGATACTTGGATATAACACAAGCAATCCGGGACCACAAGGAATAAGCATCTTATGGAGTTCCTGATTCTTTTATTTAATTATAATCAACGTTTTTGCTATTTTTATGACTTTTATTATTTAAAATTTTTTGTAAATTATTTTGAAAGTTTAAATAAAAAATAATAAAATTCAAACGTCATTTCTGTTTTTTATTTATCTCATATTTTGAAAGGAGGTTGGAAGGAGTGATTTTTGCATAAAAAATGTAGCATTTTAAAAAGGTTATATATAATTCATTTTAATGTTACTAATGTAATGTTCAGCCAAGTTTATAAACAAGAATGGATGGATGATGAATATTTATGCTTGTTCATATAGAACAACTTAATAGAGTTTGATGATACTGTAATATAGATTAGAATCAGATCGGGATCTAGTTTATAATTAATTTCAATATTTAGTGTCGCTACCCCAGTTGTATGATTTATGAAGTCACTTTATGCACCACCAAGACTCCTGATGACCTAGTCTGTTGGCTACACTTGGCTTGTTTTAACACATTTCTCTATGAGTCTAATTTTCAATACCACATACTTAGGTGAAGTTACAGGCAAAAAACTAGTCCAACTATATTTTTGGCTCAAATAACGAAAGAAACGTAATAATTTCCATGTGAATTTAATTGTTGAATATATGTATGATATACTAACCCGATATATAGCTGTAGTTAATCAGCAAAGGATTTTCATTTGGTAAAACAAAACGCCAGAGGAAAAGATATTTGAGCGTTTTTGCTGCGAAGCAGGCCAGTTGTTGAATAAGTCGCACGCCTTCTAGTCGTGTACAACATAGGTTTTCAAACGAAACTAATTGTAAGTTGTCCTGGAAGCTACAGGAACATGTTAATTATAGCTATTTTGTTATAAAGGATTAGCAATACATTTTCGTCGAAAGTATGGATTGCTTGAAATTATTTCTATTAACAAAAATTCAAAGTTTACAACAACCGATGTAAGTCCCATTAAATATAAAATAACTAATGTTGAAAATTTTAATCTTCTATCACAATAAAAATGTGCAAGAATATAAATTTATAATAGTCGGTGTTACCCAATAATATTCTGCAGGATTCTAAAGAAAGTTTTCCGTTTAAAGTAGTCCAGTCGATGAAGTTTTATTAACTGATCCGATATCAGAAGTCGATCCATTTGAACTTTATTTATTTCCATTTTCTGTTAAAACAATGCTATTAGATGATTTGTTTACGTGTCTAAATGATTTGTAATGGAGAATACAGGGGTTATGTGACGTGATTTTATATATACATATGACGAGTAAGAGGACAACTTTTAGCTGTCATATAACTCAAAAGATCAAGATTAATAATTTTAATATTTCAAGTGACTCATGCTATAAATAAGAATCATAATTCATAATCCATCCAGATTTGGAAAAGACTTAAAGGTATTAAATGATTAAAGGACATAAGTTTAATAATATATTGCATACTGAATAATAAAATTCACCTTTAATGTTTCTTCTATGGATATGTGCAATTCTTTCATAAACAATTTTGGGGATATTTTAAGAGCCGTATTAGCTTTCCACAAGTAGGTGCCCAAGTGAGTGGGTAGTTTGAGACTTGGATACTGATATGTGAACAGGACTTGATCGCAGTGCAATTCACCGAGAAAGTAACGCTGTACATCATGGATGGACCAATAACGAGTATCTGTGGATCTGGAGTACTAGCTAATGAATTCATATCATAATAATATGTTACCCATGACTTCGTCTGTGTACAAGTTGATAATATTATGTCATACTTTTAACTATAAGAGCGGTTCATCCGAACTCTGTAAGTTGTCTCACAGCTTTTAATAGTACCTAATAGCACACAGTACTAATATAATCAACAATAATGTAAAACCCCCGAATCGAATCATTAAACTTATAAATGATACGCTGTAAGCCCAGATTCGAATAATATGAAACACAATCTCATTCTAACCCAAGGTTGTATGTTAAATTTACCAAAAAAGTCCACATAAAAAAAGATATTGCCTAATTTAACTGGTCAGTCGAAAGACTAAGGTAGCTTTCTTGTTAAATGTATATTTTGATGAGCTCTTTCAATAAAATTCATTATTTTGGAAACGGTAGCTTATTCCTAATGATTTTACCTAAGCACGTCGTCATCCAAGAGTAAACCATCTGCGCTCTCGACGTAATACAGCCAAATATGAGGATTTTCTTTCCAATCTCCTAATGCAAGCGGCCCAGTGCTAGGTTTGTATAATCGTGGCGATAGAAGCCATTTTACCGCTTCAAGGTGTCCCACAATTTTAATGCATTTGCAATCATCTAGAGACAGAAGTATGTATCAAAATAAACGCTACATACACTTTGTTATGGAAATCTCAATTTTTTTCTTTATTCTCGCAAAATAAAAGGTTTCCAAAAATTATTATAGTAACCATTTGGGCATGCTCAAGTAGAAATTTAATAATCATACTTACATTCCTCTTTCATTATAAATAAATAAATATTAAAATGTTATAATCTTTAAAAAGAATAATATAAATATTGACGAAATATAAAAGTCATACAAAACACAATTTACAAGTGACAAATAAACAAGAAATAGGTAGTTTAGAAACTGGCAAATTGGTACTTGAGATATAAAATATCAACAGATTAAGATTAATAAAATGTCATGTTAAAGCATCAAACACCATAGCCATCCAAATAATTAATATCGAACAATAAAATATATTAACAAGCAACAAAGAGTGAGGAAATGAAATAAAAGTAGTAAATAAGTTACTTGGCATATTGTTATATTTGAAAATATACAAAGAATAATTAATTATTTTTATTATCTGTACAATTAAACAATTAAAAATACTAATAAATGCGTTACATAAAAAGGTTAAACATAATATTCTCAAACATAAACAGAATAGTTGCCGATTGATTGAGATAATTTAACCCGTATCAAACGTGTAACTCAATTTTTAATTATTTATTCTCTAAGACAGTTATTAATATATACAATATTAACTAACATACATAGTATACCTTCATGCAGGTTTAAGTGACTTTTGAGTCATCAATCCCTGGGACACAACATCTATAATTTGAAATCTGTCTTAATTAAATATATTCATACATATTATCTAAAAATTTCCCTTCTTACTGGTTAAACTAGTATGGTTAAAGGGTCTATATAAATTGAATTAACAATTGTATTTTCTCTAATAAAATGTACGTCATGAAATATGTAATAAGTAAGCTGTCGATACCAACTACGAGATACAATACAAATACAACATTCTTGAGACGATTACATTTATAACACTCCAAGGCGGTGCACAAACGACAATACCATGTATTTAAGAATACAGAAATCTAAAGCTATAAGAACTTAAACTATACAAAAAAGCTAAGTAAGTATATATATGGTAAAATTTCAGAATAAATTCGAGCTGTCGAAAGTGCAGTAGCCGCCGTAACAGGTATGGGTTTAAACATAATATGACATGTTTGTTTATCTCGTATTGAAAGAAATAACGTAGTCATCAATGACTTTAACATTGATTTTTTTAATGAAAACTTATTTATTAACCTTCAAGTATTCGTCTGTAAAGTTATTTCAACTGCTTAGTCATTGTCATTTTTAAAACAACGAATCCAGACCTTGAAAAGTTGTCTCTATACGAATTTTTATTAGTCAAATTACAGAAACTAGTTGTGTATGTATAGTTGGAGTTACAACTGGTTGTATTATAACTATTTCGGTATGCAATGTTTCAACATAAAATTGTAAAACTAGATATAACCGTTAAAAATTGTTGACTAAATATTTATACGGAACATATATTTGGACGCAACTTTATTGTCAGAATCAGATGATCTTTTCAGTCTTAAAAAACTGATAATTATTCTTTATTGATTTCGAAATATTATTGGATGAAAGTTACACATTTTTCTTTAATACATATTTAAACCGATGGTTTGTAATAGATGCGATTAGAATTCATTTAAAATTCCACAATTACGATAAATTTTGCTAAAGTTAATCAGTCCGTTATTTAACCTATTGTTTGAAAATTGCTATAGAATATACGTAAAAAAGCAAATACATTAAAGTATCACATTAGGTTACTTTCATAATTTTAGGAATGTTAACTTATAATAACCATTGAAAAGAGAGTTTATTATGTTAAACAATTTTAGAATTTTTTGTAAATTTGTAAAATTCCATTAAACTAATAATTTATTTTCAATATTTGGCATAAAAGTCGATCTACGTGTACGATGTCCAACTAAAAAATTTTCATACAAACTTACTAAATACAAGATATATGTAAATTTAGCCTCATATTTTTTTATAAATTTGCGCGTAGTCTTCGATCCGGCGTGATTATGACACAGTATAAAAACATTATTTTTAAAACCTACCTATAATAAGGGACGGTCGTATTCATTTTGTGTAAATGTTTAATAAAAGGATTTTTGTAGTATTGTAACGGCAGAATAACGGGATTTTGTTTTTTATTTCTGAACTAGGTATTTTATCAACGTATTTTAAGGTTCTGATAAGTCGAAAGATCACAGACGACAAATTAACTATAAAGTAAGAATTGAGATCAGATATATTTTGGATTTGTCTTGGAAGAGAAGTTTTTAATTCTAACATATCCTTCGGCGTCGACCTGCGAAAACACCGCGAACACATTTAATACAAGTTAAATGTTTATCATACGCACAAACGATAAAATTTACATCTTTTATAACCCTAAATGGATTAAAGTACCAAAAATTACGCGTTTGTTAAACACAATCCTTCAATTGGAGCTGTCATTGGGATTACATATCTGCTTCTTGTTTCAGATATTTCCATGAACTTCGTACAAACTTTATCGTAGTGCGTATTTAGACTTATCCTAAATGTTCCTTAAAAAACTTGGTATTTTATATTATACTTGTTAAAGTATTTCTATGGCACAAAATAGGAATTGATTAACACGTCTGTGGTGAATGCAGACGACAAAAAATGAGTTCAAATCTATAAAAAAATATAAAAATCAAGGTGCACGAGGCAGACTGCCTAGACAAGTTTGATTAGTCGTCACACGCGATGTGACGTTTTCCATGCAATTGTTGAAATGTAATAACATTATTAGATCGTTACAACTTGCAACTCAAACAATTTGATTTTCAAAAGCTGGCCATTAAAATCAGGAACATATTTTAAAATTGAAAGAATCCCAAATCGTTTAATAAATACAATCTCGCTCAATTCATTTGAAACAACGTTATCTTAGCACCATTAAAGTTTTATCCATAAATGTCATCATATATTTAAAAACTGTTTTTGAAATCCGTTATCTTTCCTTAAAAATTAATTTTATTCCGAAAATAAGATGAAGTTTCAAATGTACTTGCGAGAGTCAACCTATCATACCTTAATTTACCATTTCATAATAGCACCGCCATACAATTTATACTTGCTCCAAACTTCCATAAACCTTCCACATTACCATTGGTCACGTTTTAGCACATACTAAGAGCAAAGGGTCCAATAACTTTAGACACATATTTAACTACGTGGTCACACCCATAAAGTCACTTTGATGGTCAATGATTATGAATTATTACATATAAGCCACTGCTACATGAAAACACTAAGTACGAAATCATGAACTACGTGGACTGCAACTACTTATATTCCCGCTGTATGATTAAATTTGAAAGTTCATTCAACTATCGCCCGCAAAGTTTCAAGTGCCCGAAGGTCCAAGAAACTTAGTGGGAGTCACGTGAGCAGGAACGACACGTGAGTCCGCAGAAAGCGAGCGATAGGTTGAGACGGTTTCAAGCGGTCGGTTGAACGGGCGATGGATGGGAGGGTGGGGGGATGCCGGGGTGTGTGCTCAAGTGCGTCGAATCGCTACGGCGAGGAGGGGCTGGCGGTGGACGCTTCTTTATTGGTTTCGGTTCTTCTCGCCGTGGTTGAGCTTCTCTTCCGAACACATTCTCGTAGAATGGATCTTCTACGCCTGAACCTCCTCCATAATGTTCTTGAACCCACATGGACACACTAGTCTCTTTGTAGTCATCTGATAGGGGGTATTCTCTGAAACCGAGTACCTCATGCGGCGTAGTTGCCGGTTCAAGTTTGCATTTCTGAGCAACCTGCCATTTCTTCCTCATGACTCTTTGGAGATCTTTTAGAAAGTCTTTTGGAGGATTACTGTTTGAATCAGCTAGCTTTTTAGGGGACGAAAGACGGGTGCTCTCATTGCGTTTCGGCGGAGGAGGCTTTCTTGGTGAAAGTGGAGCGTCCGTCAAATTAAAAGAAATTTTTTTGGCTTTCTTGTCAGAATTACTTGGAAGGTCATCTGCAAAGTTAACTTTTTTAATGGAACCAGCTCTTTCTTTTACAGGTTCCATCGTCTTCTTCTGTATGGCTGGACTGCCGTTGCTTATTTTTTTGTTTTGTAGCTCTACAAGACAAGCACCATATGCAACATTTTGTTGCGTATGAGCGTAAATACTTTTGTCTGATTGTAAAGAAGAGGTCTTCGAAGCTTCCGAATTAACACTATCGAGAGACGGTTGTCGGGGGAATGATCGGTTGCTGTCAGAGCTTCTTAAACTGCTCCTTTGGCCGGCTCTCGATGTTTGTTCTATTTGCTGGGCGGTTAGCTGACTTACTATATCTTGAACCCGTCCAGTGTGAGTCTCAATAGTGTGTTCAGGTGGAGGCGGTGGTAGACTCAGCTGGGATCCATTTAAATCCTCTATAGGATAGGCCACAGGTGGTGGAGGCGGTGGCAATGAATCAAGGCTGAGAGTCGAACTGAACATACCATCTGGAATATCAGTTGGAGGTGGTGGAAGAGGAAGATCCTCAACAGTAGGTTCTGGTTGTGTTTGTGAATTGTCATAGATTGTGTATCCGTATAGCGAGGATGCTGTGTCCACACTTGCTCTGTATGGTTCGTGAGTAATAGTTTCATAGTGGCCATAGGTTGGTGATGACGGATCTCTCACTGGACTGCTAGAGGTGATGCTGCTGGTACTGTATATAGTGGGCTCCGAAGATTCTGAAAATTTAAGAACTGATATACAATTATCCCTTATTGATAAAGGCAACTAGACAGTACTATATATTATATAGAGTTATTTTTAAGTTTATAAAGATATTTAACCTGTAGCAGTTGAGTGGTGGCGTTTAAGAGTTGAATCGTCTCGGGTGCGCGGTCGTCTTGTGAGTGTTCCAGAATCACCTACTTCTGCATCACCTTCATTTTCAACCATTTCTTTAAGTTGCCGCGTCATCCAGGTCAAAGGAATATTTGGCTTCATTGATGGTTTTCGTTTTATTGTACCTATATCAAATAAACGAAAGTATTATTACCTATATTTTTTTTACAATTTAAATATTTGAATTACAATAACAATGATACTAACCCATAGGAAATTCGCAATCGAACGCACTTTCCGAGGCCGTACCGCCATCTGAGAGACAACCGCTTGAACTAGAAGATGAAGCTCGAGAATGTCTGAATAAAACAAGATTCAACATTATGCAATCATATTTATGTAACAATAAAAACAGCTCGAATTTTTACAAATTTGAAATACACTCATAATAATCATTCATTATTGCTTTAATGCAAGGCATTTAGTAGAAATTTTACACACGTATAATATACTTAAAAAAACCGTTCATAAGATACCTTATCTTAATTGGCAAAAGGCTAAAGGTTACCGAAATTCTAAATAATAGCTTAAATAAATATATACATGGCATATATCATTGAAAAATAATTAGATTTACTTTACGTTCAACATACCAAAATAAACATGCTTGCATGTAAATGACATTCGCAAATAATAAGAGCAAATAACAAACAACATTTTCGCAATCACATAAAGGACAATGAGTATTATAAATATGGTTAGAATATTGCAATACCAACCTGCCGCTGCTGATGTCAGAGTTGGCAACACTGACGTTGCTGGAGACGGGCGCGGGCAGGCCTGGCGCCGTGCCATTAGTCTTTGTAGGGATCGATGTTATCTGCAAGGTTATCATGAACTTATTTTATGATCAATTCTAGGTACTTATACACATCAATTACGTTCTTTGTTGTTCCAACTAAGAACAGAACATAACGTGTCGATACAGATTAGAACTTTTTTTTAACTATTAAAGGTGATCGTATTCTCTCGATAAGTTATATAATGTACTTACGGAGCATGAGCGGGCGTGGGCCAAATGGTCTAAATCTTCCTGGGTCAGCTCTTCGACGAGGGTGCGGTGATTTTCTAGTAATTGTTTGCCGTGCTGTATAACATAAAAAAAATTACAATTTAAATAATCCTTTATACTAATTTTATAATTTAAGTCCTAAGAAATTATGTCATTCATATTTTAATCAGTATTATTTATTTTTACCTTCGCTATACGCATGGCGGTGACCCATCTCTCGAGAGTCCTTTGATCATCGGCACAAAGAAATTTAATAAACTTGACGCTCTTCGGCTGTTGAAGCCGTGGATGCTTGATAGCGAAGCAAAAGTCAGTTGGCGACTTGTACTTTTTCTTCCAATTGACTCCTAAATATACTTCGTTAGTGTCGAAAGTCGCCAAGCAGACCAGCTCCTTTAAGGTCTTCACTTTATCTTTCGGTAAATAGTACAGTCCTAATAGAAAAACCCAATAAATTTAATTGCTACATCTAACATAAGTGTCAATTGTATCATGTGTATAAATTCGCAATAGTAACATTTATAGTGTGGCCACACATTCGCGTCGCTTTTAAAAATATACGTTTTACTAACCGGAAGGTCGTAGGACGAAGTAGTATTTCTTCCAGCCCTTTTTAGCGTCACTTTTAAGATAGAGAGGTCCTTCCATGGCTGGGACTTGATGACCGGAGACAGAGGGAATTGTGGAAGCTCCGCTCTGACCGAAGAACTCTTCTATGACCACTTGACGTAAATGCTCGTCGTATTCACTAAATCCTATTAAAAATTACAGAAAATCAATAACATTTTAAAGATAAGGAAAAATAAAAATACTACGTCTTTTATTATACTACAGTGTACGTAAGGTATTTATGAAACATCCTTCTTGTGACCTAATAAGTACAGCTCACATACAATGTTTCATAGTTTCATATTTTAAATATGATTTGACTATATCATATTTAATATACATATCACTTATCACTGCATGTTGTTATTCGAGATATTTAAAAACAGAAGCGTCGGTTTGCTTTTGCCGTATGGTTTATTTTTCTAATCAAAATTGTAGACTTCGATATTATGATTAATTTTCTTTTCTTGGAATATTGAAGATAAGAAAGAACTTCAAGAACCCGGTTTATTAGGTCATATATTGTTTAGGTTGACTAGTTAATGTAATTGAGGCCGTCAGAGCAAGTGGTTAGGTCATAGACAATCAGGAGGAAGTGATGATCTGGTTATGCAAACGATGAAATTCCATAACTTGTCCTTGAATTGTAATGTTATGGACATTAAAGATAATATTTCCTTTTTTGCACAAACTTCTTCTAAGTTTATTTTAAAAAATATAATGAAAGGATGTTAAATGTATAACGGATAGTTAATTAGAGCAAATATTTTATTTTTATCAATCCAATAAGCCCAATAGGTTTGGAATTGGGGTCAATAAAATACCAGAATTAATATAAAGAAATCTTCATTTCAATATTGTCTTTGTAAATACCTCTTTCATCTTCAGTTAGGAGAAATTTCTCTGGTGTTTGGAAGAGCGATATCTTGTCTGGCCTTTCGGCAAACAGTATTTTGTTTTTGGATTCTCGCGTCCATAGCATGAGGTTGTCCACCAACATCTCGTGATCTTCGTACACTCGTTCTAAAATTAGAACCAAAATATGTCAACTGTAATAAACTGTCGTAACTGACAGGTCAAAGGATATTGCACAAAATGCAGTGCATTTTTTATTTGGGCTTTTCTAGGACCAATACAATTCAAATTATTCATATATAAATATTTGAAGTCTGCAAGCAAATCGATATAGAATAAATTTTTATATACCCATATGCAAATCTGGTAAATGTTCAACTATGGCCCATTTAGGTTCCATGGTGACATGATTTTTGTCAGCTAATAGCCGTGTGACGTAGCCGCACGTCATCTTCTCATCAACTAGGAGACTCTTTGAAGATCCGTCCATAGAGAAAGCTTTAATAAAGAGCTTCTTTACATTCGCCTCTCTCATACGTTCCAATGCCAGTTTAATTTTATCTGCTTTCTGTTGAAAAATTGCATCCTGTGAACGTATTTTTAGTTTCTAAGAAAACAAAATAGAAAACAAGCTTAAACTAAAAGCACATGTTATAATACGGAAATTTAAATATAAACATGTTAAAGATGTTTGCTTTTTTCGATTGAAAATTGATATAGTTTCTTTTGCGTAACTCATTTAAACGAAAATATGAAATTTGAGCATATTGTTAAATAAAAAGGCAAATAATATAAATTAAAATAGGTATATCAGAAAATTACCTTTTGATTTGGATGCAGACTAAGTTTCATCGGCTTACATTTAGAACTTGCACTACTCGAGGCTGACGACTCGCTAGAGAGCATCGATACCTGTAAAAATATAAATCTAATAAATTGTTCAATACAAATAAATCGTAAAGAATAAATTATAGAATGAAAACTAACCGTGTCACTAAAGGCAGAGTCATTGTCAGGTGAATCAGTTCTAGTGATGGTTGGTGCACCATCGCCCTCCTTGTTTTCTTGTCGCTGGGAACTCTCGCCCTCTTCTCTTTCTTTGGATTGCGAATAATCTAGAAATTTAATTGGGTTAACAATAACACCACGTTACAATACAGATATATTACTAATTTTTTATTTAGGTTACCAGTGGATACTCTAGAAATTTCTTCATCGTATTCGGAATCGAGCGCACACAACTCCCCTAAGATCGCGTCTAGATCAGCGTCTTGTGTTTCTTCTAGATTTGCCATAGAAAATCTGTAGGAATCGATGCGTGGCGCCACAATTTCAAGCGGCCTTAACGCTGCTGTAGCATCGCTTGATGAATTTAAACCCTGCAATTTATATATAAATTAAACTTTGAATGACAATTAGTACATACTCTTACCTAAGTAGCTTTGAACCATTTTACATAATATATATGTTCATAAATCAAACCATTCTATTCTGTTTTATATTTATAAGAAATAATAATGGCCACTAAAAAACAAATTAAAGCAACCTCTTAAAGGTACTCTTTTATGAATAATAGCCACGATAAAAAATATATATTCAATCCATGTGAAAGAATTGAACAGTTTTTGTATAATATGTACATATTACCATTGACACATACCTATGTATTGGATGTTAAGAGTTAAGAGTGAGTTTAGCCATCAAACCCTGCTGTTTTTCAAAATTAATATTAAGTACATATAAAGAGTGCATATTATATGTACATAATCTTGAGGTAACAGTAAAACTGTTTCTTTTTATTTAGGTACATATTCAATTTTACGTCAGTGTAAAAGATAGAAAAAAGCAACATATTTTATAACGAAATGATCACCTTATATAAAAATATTTTAAAAGTGTGGTATATTCTAAAGTTTAAATTGTCACGATGTTTTGATAAGACCAATAAAACAAATATATTTCTAGAAACCAATTATAATATTTTTCTTTAAATAAATAATTACGTTTCGAGTACGTATGGACAGTTATTAATTTTATTATATTGAAAAAAAAATATAATCTTCTATATATATAAAAATGGATTGCTGTTCCTTAGTCTCGCTAAAACTCGAGAACAGCTGAACGGATTTATCTTATCTTAGTCTTGAAATGTTCGTGGAGGTTCAGGGAAGGTATAAAAGCTGAAAAAAAATTATTCATTACTGGGAAAACCATAAAAACAGCCCTTTTCTATTTCCCATACAAACGTTTTTTTTGACATTAGATTTGACAACTAAGTAATATGTCAATCATTCTGTTCGATTGAAACAGGAGAAACCTGATTATTAATGGCCTCTAAAACGGAATAGAGTTCGCCCGGTCAGCTATACATATATTACTAATGAAGAAACTAACGCGGACGAAGTCGCGGGCAAAAACTAGTTTTAAATAAATTTACAAAGTGTTAAGTGAATGTTTCGGGTAAAAACAAGTTGGTAGTTAACAAATAAACATTTCGCATGTTTCAAAATAGCAGGTTTTTTTTTTGTAATTTTTTCGGTTGCGATTTATAATTCCCGTACATTCCATACTGGAATACCAGTCACTGTCCGCTGCGGAAGTACCGCGCATCTAAGTTTAGTATCCGTATGACTGACAGTGTAGATTCAAGCGTGCTACTTACATACAATAAACAAATGGCATCGTTAGATACCCTTAGACGGGCCTCAGGGAACTTAAGACGGATAGCAATATAACGTTTAAAGATGATTGTCACATAGTCCTTCGTGATGAATTAATTACATACACACGAACGTAAAAGTCAACATCCCAAAACATGGGCTGGGATAGTATTGTCTTTGGAACAATGAACTCGGTAGCTCTGTTTAATTATGCATATAGCATGACTTATAAAAGAACAAGTTTAAAGAATATATATTTTTAACGAAGCTTGTACTCGTACTTTATGGCGTAAATATAGAAGTACCCTAACATTGCCACATGTTTAATTAGTTCCCTGTTCTAATAATATTTTTAGATATTAGGATGTAGTTGATGAGTGATCTAATTGAGATTAAAATAAATGTATATGTTTTATCGAATACTTTCAATAAATTAAAATGCTTCTTTGGAACATACCTTGTCAGTCATTTTTAAACTTTGTTCAAAAGATTTGTTTTCAATAGGTGAATTGTTAGCGCTTTTTGATTTGGTGGCCAGACGGAAACTTCTGTTGAGAGTGGAGAGGAAGCCTCCACGGTGCCACTTGGTCGGCTCGCTTAGTTGCACGTCCATCATTCCTCGCCCGCTTACATCTCACCAAAGTGACTCACCGAATAACCACGCACTCACTAGTAAAGTTAAGCAAAAGCCGGCTTTGCATAAAGTATATTAAAATCCACACATAATCATTCTTCTTAACATGCAATCACAATCAACGGAAGGAAGTCAATTTACAAGTTAGCGTTCGCAGCTTGGCAACGTAATCTTGAGTTTGTTATCCACGCGATTTATTTGATTCCAACTCCCCCAATGAAGTTGGAGTCTGCGCGTTTAGCTTTCCCGTAAATCGTAAAAACAGTCCTGATGACCTCGCCCATTCACAATGTGTCTAAATATATAACTTCAAAACTTTTGTTCACATAATAATTTAAATATAACAGAACAAAGAATACACGTTCGTATATTAACACACATGCGTCGAGCGCAGTCTCAAACACTACTAGAGTAAAGTTGCATTACAAAACGAGCGCTAAGCGGCGGGACGGGTTAGTAGAGGGGGGACGGTGCGGTAAGTATGAAGTGAGGGAAGTTGGCGACTCGTTGTCGGCGGGCTGCGGGCGAGCGTTTGCTACTGTGCCGCTGTCGAGCCAGTATGGGGAAACTGCGGAACTCGTTTTGGTGCACGTGTGCGTCGCGGCCCGCTACGTTTTGATTGATAAGGATGACAAGGCAGTGTGCGTGTGCCGCGGCCCTTCCCGGGATCTCTCGCCCCCGCGTTTGGCGCACCCAAATGACACTTAAACAATTTAGGGTGGAAATCGGGATTCGGAAGAAGCTATGAGTTACGCATTGCGTTTCAAAATGGCCAATAATAATTACGCATTATGAAATCAGTTAAAGAATTAAAAGAAAATATAAATAAATAATATAAATTTTTATTATTTAATGTCAAGTAAAACATTAAGCTTTAACTACATACATATTTAAATTTTAAAAGTTTTATGTTTTGGTAGGTACGTTGTTATTTTTAGCTCCTGCAATCTAGTAAATATCAAAAGATCGGTAAATATATAATAAAGTAAATAACTAAAGTAACTTCATATATACATTCATCTAGCTGAGATGGGCATTGTAAATTGTAATTGTACACCATGCTTTGATACGGACATGTGACATAGAAAGCATGTTAGTTTAATCGGATACTATAGGTAACCGGTGTGATCGAAGACATACAAAAGGGCTAGTCAACTAACCCATATTTACCTACACCACAAATACGGAGTAAAATAATGCTCAATATGGAATGCACAATACATTTTATATAAAATAAATAAATATTTTTAATGTATTTCATCTCAATTTTATCGACTTTATTATTGCGACTGAGTTCCCATGTCTTAAAGTTTATTAACGATTAACCTTGAAACACTTATTTTTGTGCTAAACTGTTGCAAAACAAGTTTTTGAGCTCACTTAAAGCGTGTTCGAACTTTTCAGTGGTATCTTGAGTCAATGTCATTTACGTATACTTTTACGTAATCTTAATTACATCATACTAACAATTCACTACCATTTTTTTAAATTATTGATGATTTAAACTTATTTATATGATACATAGAAGTGGGATTTATAAACAACAGACGTATAAAGGTTAATAACCTTTGGAAGGCTCTGAGTATCTTTTTGAATTCGTATGAAATATTTAAAGTTAAAAAGCAATTGAGATAAGACTAAGCAATATTTGCTTATTTTAAGACCAGCCAAGTAAATTGGTAAAGGGACAAGTAGGCACAATTATGTTGCTTTCTCAATTTACTCACATAAATATAAGGAGTTATTAAAATGTGCTTTTACAATTATTATCAGAAAAATCAGCCTTTTGAATTTTTTTTGTTACTAAATATTTCTGTATAAGTACGTATTTCCATAATTTAATACGATATAAAACTCATGTTTACATTTTAACAAACCGACTTCTAATAATAAATCATTTAAAATAATGCATATTGCATAACTATTTTAAGCCGAAATGTAATGTAATAAAGTAAGTGATATGCTTTAAACATTTTACACAGTGAAATGGTGGATTTCCTATCCCTACTCCTTTTTTTGGCCTTTGAACTCCTGTAACATAAGGTACCATTTTCCAACGCTGTCGAAAAACATTACTAAAGCGTAAAAGTTAATGAAACTTTCAAATGAAGTTCTTGACAGTAAATACTACTTAATTTAGATTTCATAAAATGGAGACTTATTTTGAATTGAATCATGAATATCATGTAGTCATTTTTATAATCTTTAAAAACAGGCAGTTCCTGTCATCGTGATATTTTATATATCCATAATAAAAATAAAGTGTGACTATATTTATGCTAACTGGTTATCTTATATTCGAGAGTACTTCCGTTGTTATACTACGGGCTTCGAATAAGAAAATGAGCAAAAAATGGTGGACAGGTGGCTTCTGCATGCACCTGCCAGAGCTGACAGATGGCTCCGGAGCCAGGCCTATAAATTGACACTATTTAAATAATAGTAATTATCATTTTACAATTTAGTATGAGTACACTTAACACTGATTTATTAAATTAATGAGGCAACATCATAACAGTACTTTTCATACAAATATATTTTTTTTATGATTCCGATGTATTATTTGTTCAAATGCTAATTACATATCGATAAAAATCTGTCTATTATTTGCATCCATTTTAAAGATAATATGAATCAGATTATTGCACTTAATTTTTATTTAAAAGAAATATAGTATAATCGTTTTATTTAAGGGGTATTTCATACATCGAGTCCTGGCTGCGATGGAAACAAATCAATTCTGACGTGAAGGGTTATGTCACACATTATCAGCACGACTGTCAATTGGCCTTTTTACAATGGCCCCTTCGAGTACTCAAATTGCATTTCGTTAAAAACTTAACGTTTTTAAGTAGGTAGGTACATCGACAAACTTTTAGGTATCCTTATATTTTTTTTATTTCTCTACTTGTTCCTAATAGACGAATCTAAAAATCAGTGTAAATAGTTCAATAATAGTGTAAGTAATAACTTTGATTGAATATTTTAAAAGGATTTGTTTGTTTGTTTGGTGAATATTATTTAAAATATTATAAAAGCGTGCCAAATAATGTTAGTTCTACAAAACGTGTTTTTATTGAAATTGTGATTTCAACAAATAAAAAAACAACGACCACGCTTTAAATCTTAAAGAAGATCAGGTAGAAGAATAAAATGTAGTAGGTATTCATAAACGTGGCCAGTAAATGTGCCTTCGGTAGGTACCATGAGACACAATTATTTTAGAAACATCATGTAAAGGATAATAAAAATATTAAAAAATTCTTTATAACTCGTGAGTTTCTTTTAATGAATTATTAATCAGAAATTTGCTATTATTGAATAACTAGAACATCAATTCCCAAGAATCGTTACAAGCATAAACAACTGCCTAAGTGTAACTTTCTAAGCATGCTTTGAAAAGATTTAGTTAAGATTAATATCACTTGCAGATGTTTAACAAAAGCGGCGAGTCACGAAACAAGCCAATCGCGCTCACAATTACACTGTTTACGCCTTAATGCGTTCCGCACGTGGTACTTTTGGGTCCCTTTTATTTAATAATAATCCTATTGTACACATTTATATATAAAATACATAATGAACCTTTCAAATACATATAATATTTTTACTATACACGTATATAAAATAAAAATTAATAGAAAAGTTTTGGAAATAAAGCTTAAATAACTCAATATATTTTTAAGTGGGTCAAACTCTTGAAGAAAACAATTCCACTCTGCGAAATTTTAAAAGTTTCCTCGGCTAAGCCTGCATTATCAATTTGGAATCACGTTTTCAACGTTATATAAATAAAATATATTTTAATATGCCCATCTCGAGCATAAACCTTAAAAGTTATTATTGCTATTACTCTATTAGTCACCAGTAGGAAGTGCGAGTAAGTTTCAAAAACTAATAGTAAGTATTTAATTGATAGAACGTTGTAAAAAATACGTTGTTAATAATTTGCTTTATTTATTTAATAGCCAGTATTTGCTTCCTGTTTATGTTGTGTTCTTTTAAACGAAAAATAAAACAATTTTGTTTATTGACTTAAGTCCGTCTTAATTATTAAAGTGGAAACAATATAATTCCACTTCATATTTGCTATTCATCAACTTTGATATAGAATTTATTTAAATTCTGTTTCATATTTGGTTATTGATAAGTCTCGATTAGCAAACATCCGGGACATTTACAACAAATCATAATTCTTTACTTCCTTCTCAGTGATAACGAACGCTTTTAGTTAGAGGGATTTTTCGTTATTTATTTTAAATTATTCATTATTTGCGTTTATAGCAATTGACATAAATAACGTGCTGTTGTTGGACTAGAGTCTAGACGATACTCCAAATGTAAACATACATGTATTCTTACGTGTATGTAACTTATAATTTCTTATCTTAACTTATCAAAATAAATATGAATAATTGAAGTACGCATTGTTCTTAGCTTACAACCGCATACATAGATATATGCTTTTAATGCAACGTACATTTAATAGCATTTGACCCAAAAAAAACCTTATAGAATTATACGAAGGTCTAAAATTATAAAGTGATAATAACTTTATTAAACAAGAACCGAATACTGAATAGTCAATTTTAATCATGATTCATTTAATTGTTTTCTAAATAATTCCACAGCCGTCAGTTTAAAATTGTGATAAAAATATTCTCACTAATACATATGTATATATAAATGTTAAGTTATTTTTCTGGTATCCATAGATTTACGTTGATGTTGTCTGGTGTTATTGTTGAACTAAAATGTTTGTGACCGACGAGCCCTTATGGAGGTAAAAAGTGGGTCATTGTTATGTTATGTATAATTGTATTTGCGAATTAGATATTAACCTAATTAAAAAGGTTTTATTATAAAGCCGTGGGGAATTAAATGGTATTAATTAGTAGTAGTAGTAGTAATAAGTCACGTGCTAAATTACAAAACTTTCATATAAGTATATTTATATCTACTATTGTGTTCCCTTAAAGTAATTTATTTACATATAAAAAATATGTTTATAAATTATAATGGTGTCAAATGTAAGTAAATTTTAAAAATAACCGTTTTAAATCTATATTTAAGTTAAATTATACAGAATTAGTAGTCAAAATATATAAATCGATGAAATTAAAAATCTAGCAAGTGAGAACGAAGACAAGTGTAACACTCGAGATATATCTTATTTTTTAGTATAGTTTAATATAGTTAAGGATGCTAGCAAGAAGACTTTTCAATTTTATTTGTCTCGATTGGGTTACGGATGATGAAAAAGTCCAGCTATTAGCTATTAAAAATAATAATTGGTGAATGTTTAAATATAATGGGTGCTAAACGCTAACTGTTGAAAGAAGGAAACATTTCATCACACTGTTATTGTGACATGCTAAAAACCACCACCCTTCCTTTTTTGGCTTAACGACGTCTGGTAAAAATAACAAAGAAGGTTTGTTATTCACTCAGAATATTAACGAAACAGGATGGACCGGAATCGGATTAGCATATAATCCATGACTACGCTTAGTCTAAGGCGTAACAAAATCTGCATCTCCTTTGTACATGGCGATGCACACCCAAAGCAAACTATATTGGTTTTTGTTCCAGCGTTTATCCGCCTTGAAGTATTTTTGGTACGAATTATTTTAATATCATCAAGTTTCTATCTGGAATAAGTTTTCGTTTATAGTTTAAAATGTTATCAACTTTACACAGAAACAATT